TTCTGTGGCGCTATTTTAGGTTAAGGATATAATTTTCTGTTTTGAGAATTGACCTTTTTGTCCTTCAAAAGATTTTTTTGACAGTTGTGGAGATGACATTTTGTATGCACATATGTATACAATGGCCAACCACGATTGAACAATTCACCAGGTTGTCGTACTCTTACTTTAGAAGAACTCCACGTCATAATAAAGCGTTTGTAAAACGATATAAAGGAATACTGTATCGTTTTAAATAATAAGCGTAAGTACATATGTATTTATGAATGTACATAAGTATGTATGTATGTATGTAGGTTCTCTTTTAATATTCTAATTCTGTACAAAAATGTATTTTATTGACTCTTTACTACTTACATACAAGTATATACTAACTATTTATAAAATGCAATTAAGGTTATATTGAAAACAAAACAAAAAAAAAATTAATAAGCACACATTATTTATCATTCATGGGCTAAATACATTGACACACATAATATAAGTATGTACATATTAATTTATATGCACGTGCAATGCATCTGCAGGTCGACGGTATGCGCGTGGCCATCAGCTGTTCGAAATGTGCCAAATTAATACGCCACGCCAAGTCAAGCCATGCCGCGCCAGTTAAGTGAAAAGCCAAAATCAACAGCCGTCCGTCCAACACTACCCCAATAATGGCCCACTAAACAAGTGGGCAGCGATNTATCATTCATGGGCTAAATACATTGACACACATAATATAAGTATGTAAGTACATATTAATTTATATGCACGTGCAATGCATCTGCAGGCCGACGGTATGCGCGTGGCCATCAGCTGTTCGAAATGTGCCAAATTCATACGCCACGCCAAGTCAAGCCATGCCAAAATCAACAGTCCAACACTACCCCAATAATGGCCCACTAAACAAGTGGGCAGCGATGGTTTTTTTTTCACTTTGTGTAGTTGTTGTTGTTACGTGTTGGCTATGCCATGCCGTCATAGTATTGTTGGTGCTGTTATAGCGGTTGTTGTTGTTGTTGCTGTTGTCGTCACTGAGCACGTTTTTTTGGGCATTGAACTTGAATTAGTCAACCCGCATAACGACAAACAGACAGCCATACTGCACACACACATGCTATGTACATAGTTAAATGTGTCTGCATGCACACACGACGGCCGACAAATCGCAGTCGCACAGGCACGACGCGTGCTCTTACCTCGATATGTCGATATCTATGTTAGTGTAATTGTATTTATTTATACTACGTGAAGTTTGTGGGCCAGTGTAGGTTTGTGCGCGAATTTACAATAACAATAAAAACAACAAGAATAACAAATTTCGGTAGCAGCATGTGCACACGCGGCATGAAAATGTCGTACAACAATAATAATAACAACTCATAACATATCAAATAGTAACAATAATAACAACAAACACACATTGCCGAACAGATTTAATAACAACATGCGAACATTTGTACGTTTTTTATGTATGTGACTAAATGTAAATAGATAAGTACATATTTACTTACATATGTAGGTATGTATGCATGTATCTATGTATATGCTCTTGGCTGTTTGCTGTAGCGACTAGCACTAGCGTAACATAGCGACTTTGTGACGGTAACGGCAACAGCATTAGTAGCGGCAGAGTGACGGCGCACGAATACCGTTATGAAAACAAAAAACCTAAGAGGAAACTGCGGATAAAAACAAATCGCAAATTACAGACAGAAACAGCAACATGCTTGCAAACACTCATGCCTACATAGTACATATGTATATGTAGAGACTAATGTATGTGTGTATGTATGTATGTATTTACTAAATAACAAGTGCGCATACAACGAAGGGGAAAGCAAAGCCATGCGACCTCGTTGCACGTGCAGCACAACCGAAAACCAACTAATCAACCGAACAGCAGCATTAGCAACAAATGCAAGAACAACAAAAATAGTGAAAATTATATTTACATACACACATATGTATTTATAATGTAGAAGCAAGAAGAGTAAATGCTTTTTCAAAATATATGAATCACTTATATGATTTATAACCAAAATGGTAGCACACAAAGAGCACGCAAACGCGAAAAATTGTAAATTAAATTTTTTTTTAATTTTCAACTATAAGCTGGGGATTAATATTTTTGTTATTTTTTACTCCGCTATTTGGGATTAAACATTTCTCTTTTTATCAATCTGGTATTTGGGATTAATTTTTTTTATTTGTTTTTCATTCTACTAGAATTTGGGATTACATTTTTTTTAATCTGGTATTTGTGATTACAAATTTGAAAATTATATTTTATGACATATGTAAGTATGTACAGTTGTTTTGCGGCATGAAAAAAATATGTTAATCGAATTAAGTTTATTTCAATACATTATTTCCAACCCTTATTTGGGATTAAAATTTTCCGGATTTTTGCCTTTTGTTACTTTATTTCATCTGGGTTAAAGAGCACGTATCAGGCTGATGTTTGCATTTGATCAAAGCGCAAAAATACTTTAGCTAATACTTGAACGATCCCTTAGCTAACTAATTTCACTTCAAAAATTATTTGTTTAAAATAACGGATCGTTAAGCAATCTTTTGAATGATATAGTTTACACCTGGAGACTAGAAATTTCGTAAAACTGGCAAACAAAATATTAATTGCAATACTTTTTCGGTAACCGTTACAGTCGATAAACATGTAACCTCAATTTTCGCAACCGCAAATTTTGAAACATCGACATTTTTTTAAATTCCTCGAACTCAATAAATAGGTCGTACCAAATATGATGGAAATGAACAAAATAATGTAAATTTTCAACTTGGCAAAATTGTCAAAGAGTCGTAAACAAATAGCGTCATGAGCGACTGTTCTAAGCACCTTTAAACAGTAACGGTACGGATATATTCTAATCTCAATTTTTTTCATTCTTGGATAAGCCTAAGTAATCGCCTCAACTGGGTTATCGCTGATTTTAATCTGTCCCAATTAACAAGCGGATACTGCATGTACAGCTAATCCGTTTTTTTTCGAGTCAACATTACAATGAAAAGATTTGCCATATTGTAGCAAGAAATACTAGTCTGCAGGTAATATGTATTGAAGCTTGATAAGGTAAACTATAAGACGGTCTACATTTCATAAGGCTAGGTAGGCATAATTATTAAACAGTCTTGAAACCCGTGTAGTGAACTTGAAAATCCGTTTTCGAAACAGTAACAATCTTACGATATGGAACTTAATAACATATAAAATATAATTTTAATAGATAATAGCTGTAATAATGATAAATATTCGAAATTTTGTTATGTGCGTATTTTCGTTCCCAGAAGATCTGATCTTTATTTATTTTTATTTTTTTTAAGGGGTATTCTAGTGTAGAATTTCAAAACAATCGATCAATCATATTTTCAAAGTTTAACTATTTAAGAATACGTCTACGTGAGGACTTTTGAAAATTTAAATTATTTTCGGAGATATAGACATTTTATTGACCCGGCCGACAAACTGGTTCGGTTGGGTCTAATGGAACAAAAGAATTTACGCGAAACTTTAAATGCGTTTTTCTCATCCACGATTTCCCCGAGTTCTACCAGACCAATTTACTTGATATGTTCAGAGAATCTTCCTTATAGACCTCTCTCGAGTATGAATTAGCCTTATCCTATTTTATTTTAATATTTTTAAAATATACCAGAAAATATAAAAATAGTAAAAAAATCGTTTTTTTTTTCAAACAGTCATCATTTTGTCAAAAAATTTTTACTCATACGCTAGTTCATACAATAGCGACATCATTGCAGATTGATAATCTTTATTGTTTCCATTTCAGATGACTAGGAGCGTTGAAATCATGGGTATGCTCATGTCCCAATTTTTTTGAGACCCCACATTTCATCAGCTGCCAGTTTTTTAAATTTTTAACTTATTTTTTTAAATTATTTTCTGTATGCTTGAAACATTAATAAATATCTGATAAAAAAAATCGAGAATAAAAATATTATAATAATTGCCGGTTTTTACGACACTTTAAAAATTACCTAAAACTCAGGTCTTTAGACTAGAATATTAAGGTGTAAACATATTGAACCAGTGTCTCTCGTCAAAAAATAAAAATGCTACGTATTTAAGGTATGTACATACACACAATTTACCCATAAAATTTTTATATTAATATAATTAAATATGAGTTTATTGACTTTTATAATAAATGAAAATAAAATTAAATAATAATAATTTAAAAAAAAGAGCAAGAAAAAATTGTGTATTGCAATTTTGATTACATGAATAAAAAAAAAACACAAAAAAACCAAACTGACTTCCGCCCTCATAAAAATACAACTGGCCGATTCAGCCAGACAGAGCGTTGTTACCCAAAGGAAAGTTTTAAATACAGTTTTTTGAATAAGTATTAATTATGTATATTTTTTGTAGCTTTTCTAGTTATCAATATTTATATATATATATATATATATCGGATGACTAAAACATATAGCTACCATACAAACTATAAACAAGTTCTTCTATGAAAACATTATTATTTGTGGTTGGAGGGTGCTATGACTTCGGTTTTTAACGTTTTTTCTGGTGTTTTCATTCATATTTCTTTATTTATTAATTGTATAAATCTGAACACACAATGATTAAATATTACAAAAAACTACACTCTAAAATTAGCATTGCATTAACTCCAATTATTATTTGAAAACAAAATAAACAAAAAAAATACAAAAAAAATAAACTCGTCTTTTACTCATGCACTGAGCAAACATACAGACAAATATAAAAATTGAGCCTGAATTATGGGAAAATGTGACGGAAGGAAATGCAAAAATGTATTTATTATTTTACAAAATTATTTAACAGCTGTCCAAAGGCGGAAGCATTTGTCTCAGCTGCAGCGGCGCACCGCCTACCACCCAGACTGGCATTCAATTTGTTGCTGTACAAAAGCAAGTATGCGCAGCAAATAATTTAAAAATAAAAATATTGCATTTTTTAATGTCACTACGCGTTATTAGCTTGTGTTACTCACCTGTTATATTTTACTGAGATTTTGTTCGCAGCTTTTTTTCGTTAAATGTGTCTGCGTTTTTTGCACAATTTTTTTTTATTTGAATAAAACGCTTTGTTCTCAATTGCAAGTGAAAAGGAAAATATTTTTGTATTTATTAATGTTGGCGTACAGTTACGTCACTTGTCACAAGCACTGTCACTTTTTCGCCGTTTGCAAAGCCTTTAATAATGAAATTTCATATTGAAATTATAAGTTCTGCATTGCAGCGAATGCACACAAGCGCATGCGACTTTTTTTATTTTATAAATTTTTTTCAATGTGTTGTTGTTGTTTAAACTGTTTTTCAGTTTGTAAGTTTTGCATGCGCGTTTTATATATTAACAAGCACACATAAATAGATATTTTGGCATAATCATGTTTTTCTACTTGTTGTTTGTGATAAATTGTTATTTCTTTTAATTACTGTTATTTTTCATGCTTGCTTAGAGCACTGTCAGCATCACATGAGAAAGAGAACACACAACAATTACTAAATTAAGAAAAAAACGTTTAATAATTTAAAAGAAATAAAATTATATATGCGCATATGCATGTTTGTATGTATGTGTATGCGAAAATACATGCATATACTTAATTTTATAAATTCAGCAGATGTGTCATTAAACCCGGAAATATTCATTCAATAACAAAAAATATTAAAAAAAAAAACACGCCAACAACGAAATAATCAGAACGGCAATAAAAAGTAAGCACAAAAACAACGTTGAATCAATGACTTTTATCGTTTTTGGCAAAAGCAACAACAAAAAAACATATCTTGCAAAATAATTTCATCAAAATAATTGTACACTCGTGTTTGTTGCTGCTGTTGTTGCCATCACAAAGTCGACGTAACTGTTGTTTTGTGAATGTCAAACTTTGTGCGCCTTTTTATTCAAATATGTACGCATGTATGTTTGTAAACGCATACACTTTTATTGAATTTCACATAAATTAATTATTTTTAATCTTTTATTAGCTGCCACAACTCACTCTTGCAGCTGTTCTACTCTATATACATACATTAATTATTAATATATTTCTTAGTTTTTTAATACTACCTGTCTGTATATGTTTTATTTTATCTTCATTTCACACCACTTAAGCCTGTTTTTCACTACATAATTTTGAATCGCAATTCTCTCAATTAAAATCACTGTCTCCTCTCACATACACACACAATCTGCAATTTACAGTTGTTAGTTAATTAAGTTTACTCGCTCTTCCCCACTGCCACTACATTCTTTCATAATTTTGTTTTTACAACTTCCGACTTCCGCCGTTACATTAAAATAATAAGTACTGAAGTCGCGTACCGTTAAATTCTGACTGACGCTTTCAGTTAGCGCGCAAAGCCAAGCTACTATGAACACCCGATAGATTCACTTCCAATTCCCTCGAATTCACAAATACGATTGGCAGTCGCTGCTGCCGCTGCAACGCTGTTCGTTGAGTTGATGCTGGCTTCGTTCTCTGTATGCGAAGCCAAAGAATTTCACGCAAAAACAACAGAACTTTTCGCGATTACATTTTGTGCGGCCATTCTAGCTGCTTTTTTTCCTACACATTGTTGTTGTTTTGTTGAGGTTGGCGTTTACAGCTGTTGTCGGTAACAATGTGTATGAATCAGCTGTCAGGGGTGATGTCGGCAAAGTAGGTTTCAGCGATGTTCCATGAGTTTTGCAGAAGTGTCTGAAATTAGTAAAAGTTGTCTAAATTAATTTACTTCGAGCGCATAAGTATGTTTGTATAATAGCGAGGTGGTGTATGTGTTAAAAAGATTTGGATTTGTTCAAAATCATGCGTACTTGAAAAGTCTAATAACGGCTTAAAGGTTGTCAGTCCTTTGGAACTCGATTTTCAAACAACCAATAGCCCCGGGCTCGCAAATTAATTATTTTTATTAAAAGACAAGTTTTAGTTCAAAAAGTTTTCAAAATAAGAAGCTTATATTTGACAAAGAGTGGGCTTCTACATTTAAAGCCATCTACGTTTTTCTAAGGTAAATTTTCCCTTTAAAAAATCGTTTGAAAAATAACGAACGCAGTTAAAAGTTACATATTTGAGAAGCAGAGACTTCATAAGACTTAAAGTAACAAATCAATCTCGTTTTTTTCTATTGAGTTTAGTGTGATTGGAAAAATTACTTCAAAAGCAATAATATCAAATTGATTGGGCCAGTCTAGTAATTTCAAACTTTTGAATTTTTTTTTTCTTTGACTAAAGTACACTTTAAGGTACCAAAAACCTTATTTAATTAGTCGAATAGGGAAAAAATCCAAGCCACTCTAGTTTCGAAAAGTTCGGATTCTTTAGCTTCAGCATGTAAAGTTTTGGTGGTTTCTCGAAACAGCATTTTTCAAATCGGACTACAAAATATTAACTGCAACTTCACAGTAATCTTATTTGGTAGACTATGGGCGATTTTTTTAGAACGTGTTCCTAGTAACGCCATCGCTCGTTGAGACCCTCTTAAAAAATTAATCCGAAGATTGGAATTATTTTCCATATTCCTAGAATAAATTGTGAAAATTAGGCAATTTTAAGTGATCTAGAGTGGTCTAACCGCTTAAAAAGTTTAATATTATATAATTTTCAAACAATCGTTTCAAAATATAATAATTCACTTTTTCTGCTTTCACTGACGAAAAACGAAATGGACTAAAATGGAGAACTTTGGCATCCGTCATTCTACCACTGCTGCTAAAAACTTTCAGAAAATTTGTACCCGAGTTAAGCTTTTCTGTGTCACCCTCTTACCAAGATATCGACAGCTGTATCATCAAAACGTCAAAATTTTAAAGTAAAACAACAATGAGTGTTTTTTTCACAAAATGATTTTATTCTCATCAATTACCTATTGCAATTTTCTTATATATACTTTCGGTTCAATTTGACGTCATCCTTTCGTACTAAATCATTTATATATACCGTTATTTCTTATACTGAATTTTTCTTCTTGAAAGCACTTAAAATTATTACCAAAAGCGTTTGTGAGTTTGCCATATTTTTCTTAGCAAATTCCACCTTTTTCGAAAAAATTATCGAACTATTTTGAAATGGATCACACACAACCGTTATATGTCATATTCAGGTGCTCAACAAGCCCACTTTTTGTTTTATAAATTTATCGAATCGAGTATTTGTATATATGTATATACTTTATATACTTAAGCACACTTATGCGCTTTCTGAAGCGAATATTTGAGTACTTACAAAGATATTCCCTCATTTGATGTCCCTAAACTCGAATACCGTAAGAAATCCCCAACTTTCTCTACCTTTCTTGACGCCATTTCTATATGTTTTCTTTATAATAACTTTCGCTCTATACTAATTACCAAAAACTTTTTCTTGCTTTATTGCGCTTCGTGTCTCATTTTCTTTCATATTTTTTTAAATTTATTTTTAAAGCCCTATATTTATTTTAAATTTTACTTACTTAATTAAGTAGGTTTGCTTATCAAGATAATCACTTGTCTTAAGTCTTTCTCTTTATTATTATTATAATTTATTATTATTTATTTTTCACTTTATCTACACATATACTTTCTTGTTTATAGCTTTTCAGTTCCGTTTCATTTAATTTCAAACAGTTCGAATTTCTCATATTTCGTTCTCTAAACTTTTCGATCTCTCATATATTTGCTATATATAATTTTTTAAAGTGTATGTATGTATGTATTCTTATACGTATGTTTTCTTGTACATATATATGTATGATTAGTTTATATAATAGCAATGAATGTATGTTGATTTATTTGTAAATATGAGATTGTGTCCAGTTGAATTTATAATTTAAGGCATAGTCCCATTACTAACCATTGCTTTATGTCTATCAAACTGAATAAAGTTTAAGTGATAATGAAAAAACTTAATCGGAGACAAAGAGATGTGTGTAAGAAGCGCTCAAATTCATTTTAAAATAACTAAAACCATTAATTTTGAACTAAAAAAAATTTATAAACATAAAAAACCGTTTGTCAAATGTTTCACAATTTCAGATCTTCAGCAACTAAACTAGTATAGGCTTAACTTTTACTTTAGGGGGTATTCTGGTTTAGAAATTTAAAAAAATATAATAATAATATATTTGCTAATTTTTATAGTATAACCCTTTGAAAATATGTCCCTAAAAAGATTTTTTGAAATTTCAATTATTTTCGGAGTTACAGCTCATTTTGTGATGCGCCGCTGAACCGTTCCGTTGACGCGCGACTTGTCCTTAAACTTTAAAGTCGTTTTTCTCTTAACTACTTTTTTTGAAACGGTGTGCATGATAATCTCAAGTTCTACTCAATCGATCTACTTGAAATTTTATACAGAGCTCTTTATACATTATACAAACGCACTACGAGAGCATTTTTAATATTTTTTTTTTTAAATATTTTTAAAAATTCCGAACAGCAAAAAAACGGAAATAACGAAATATATTTTTAAAACAGCCGCCATTTTGTGAAAAAATCTCCCAAAATCCTCTCGTAGTACTATAACTACATCCATTATCTTTCAGGATCACTCAACAATTTATATTTCAAGTTAGTGTGAGTTCTGATATCCTGCACACCAGGACACCCCATTTTTTCATCAGTCCCCACTTTGCCAATAAAAAACATATAAAAAAATGTATAGTAAAAGAATTTGTTGTTTCGTTTGTACCGGGTCCGAAAAAGAGCCTAAAATTCGGGCTTCTAAACCAGAATACCCCCTTAAATTAAAAAAAAAATTTAATTAGTACACACTTTTACAACATACCGTATAAGTATTAGAGTGGAGCGAAATTTTTTTTTTTATTTTTTTGCTTAGCCTGGGGGTAAAATCTGTAGATTATAAAAAAGGAAAATTTTTTTCTAGAGGCGGCGAACTCAGTTTTAAAGTTAATTTCGAGTAAAAAATTTTTTTGGACAAGAAAAAATTATTTTTGGTTTAAACTCTTTACATTTACAAGATATAAAAATTACCGAATGTGACGATTTTTTACTCAAAATTTATTTTAACGCTTAAGAAAAGCATGTTGTCGTTTAAGACTTTTTTTAAAACTTTTAATGACCACAAAAAGTTATATTAAGTTGATAGATTTTAATTGGCCAGAAAGAGGACTCTCCACAGCTTCTAGAACACTTATCAAAATTTGTTTACGAAATAAAAATTTTAACCCAAAATTTTACTTTAAAACTGAGTGCGCCGCCACTAGATGTAAAAAATTTTCTTTCTTTATAATCTACAGATTTTACCCCCTGCTAAGCAAAAAAAAAATTTTTTTTCGATCCACCCTAATAAGTATGGTTCTTCCATCTATGACTTTTCTCATTTGAAATAAAATTTAACAGAACTCAACCTATATGTATGGCCTTGTCTTAAATAACTTTTCTCATTTATGTTTCTTTGAAATAAGAAATTCTCCAATGAAAGGTTTTCGACGCATTTCGTTCGCGGTTCGTTATTTAAAAAATATAAACAAGATTTTATATGCTCAGTTACATATATTTTTTCCGCTCCCTTAGAATAATTTTTCAATGCTTTTCGAAACTTCAAATGCTTTTCGAAACTTCAAATGCTTTAAACTATTTCTATAACTCGATTTTAATACTCACTAATTTAGCAGTTCATTAAAATACAATTTAGTATATAAAACCTCATTAAGTTAATAATTAATTACAATTCAAACGACGTGAGAACCCTAATACAACACTGTAAAGAAGAAAAAAGGCCTTGAGCAATGAAAAACGAAGAAATATTCAAAACGAATGTAGCCTTGTTTTGCTGATGTAAAAATTATGATATGTAATTACAAATAATTTTAAATAAAAAAAAATTTATTAAAGAACAAATTTCAAACATTTTGGTAAGTTTTTCCAAAATTGAAATAACAAATTGAAAATTTAATTTTGGCATTATAAATTTGAAAATTAATTTAAATTAAGAAGACAAAATACAATAAAAATTTAATTTTATAATTATGCAATTATTTGTTTAAGCATTGTTTGCAACCCTGATTGCGACTTGCTTAAAAAGTTGAATATTAATATTAATTGGAAAAAGTTTGTTAATTTTGTTCACATAAAAGTTGCCAATTGTCGAATACTAAATCTGTAGGCTAAATTGAGCGATGATTCAATTAACTTCCAACAACCGTTATGTCTAAATTAAGAGGTACGGCACAGAATTTATACTCGGAGAAAGACTAAAAATATTCAAACCTAACAGAAAAACCTACATTCTGCTACAACCGCAACTTTCCTTTAACGGCTTAATTGTCACAGCTAATTGACAACATTGAATAAATGTAGTAAAGCCCAAAATAATTAAAAACTAACAAGAGAGTAAATAAGTACATTTGTATATATATCATTAAATAAAGAAAGTATAATTTAGAAGCGGCTAGTGAGCATATCCACAACAACCGAAATAATGCTGCCTTCGCTGCGAGTGTGAAATTTCTAATAAAATTGCTTTCAAATACAAAAAAGAGAAAAAGAGCGTATATAAATATAATATAGTTAAAAGAGTACACATACATATGTAACTATGTATCTGCAGAACGTAACGAAATCAAGACCATAAAGTAAAACAACAAATAATTTATTGTAATTTTCGACAATCTATTTATTGCCCACTGAAAGTTCACTTTTTATTTATACATTATATTCTACTTGAATGTAAGTATGTTTATATGTTATGTAATTATGTATATGCAAGTGTACTATTTCTTTTTTTTTATATGTATGTATATATATTTTTTAATTATTGCTAATATGTTAGTAGTTTTCGGTATTTTTACATAAAACTTTTGTTTGTGTATAGATAATAGTGCGAGAATGCCAATTAATAGTCTAATAAATAAATAAATAATTTATTTATTTGGAAGGCGGTGACTTTTAAACAAAATAAAAAGATTCATTAGTACGAATTTGAATTTTTATTGAAATTTTATTTTGCATGCGCAGATAAACTCGTGTACACAAGCTCTAAATTATTTTTTTGTAAATTTTTTAAAGCGCATGCGTCAAAATTCTTTGCCAACTCAAAACATATGTAATAAATCTTATTGAACCCCTTTGTTATTAACGCGTTGGTTGTTCATTTAACTGCTTTGAAGCCATTTTTTATTAAATTTCCCACTTTGATTTGATTTCCCACTTTTTATTCAATTTCCCACTTTTATTTGATTTCCCACTTGCCTTATCCCCAAACTTGTATATACCCCAAAAATTGTTGAACGTGTGTATGTAAACTTTCATTTTCAAGCATTTTTGTTTTTGTTTTGTAATGTTTTTGTATTCATTTATTTTTAACTTGTTTTTTTTTTTTTTAATTTAAATATACTCAAACGTTAAGGCTTTTCCTTTATTGCTAGAACTTCATGAATTTGTTTTGTAATTTGGCTTATCAACTAGTTTCCTCACTTTGACTTTCACTTTCACTTTTGTTTTTGTTTTCGTTCACTTTTCTTCTCTTATTTTCATTAAATTACATTTGCGTGAATTCTTTGTGAATTCACATAATACACATTTACTTTACAGTTATAGTAAATAGTAAATAGTATTTTTTTGCATTTTTTATTTTGTTTTGGTTTTTATTTGTATATTTATGGTTTTTTTTTTCTTATTTATTAAAAATAATTATTTGTTTCATTCATTCTTGGTTGGTATAACGCAGTCTTTACGGCAAAAAAGAAAAGCAAAACTATTTGTTGTATTCCCTTTTCAATTACAATATTTCTATTATATTAAACTACTACTATAGTATTGTTGTTGTAAAAATAAACAATTAACTTTACAAACGCATTAAAATAAATAAAGCTCGATTTTTTAGTGAAAAGAAAAACGAAAATAATTAATTACACTTCAAACAAACAAAAATTGTAATTCTTTGCGAATTTAATTGAACATTTCTACCAAGAGTGCCAAAATCAAATTTTTTGTTTTACATTTTAACATTTGTGTAAATATAAATTGCGAAATAATCAATATTTTTCAACTTTCTTCTGCTAACTTCTTCGTTACACTACGTAATAGCTACGTATTTAATAGATTATTTTTTGTTTGTTCATTTGTATTTCTATAATATTTTATTTTTTTACATTTTAAGGCAGTTATTTCATTCCTTAATAATCGTTAATTTGATTATGCATACAGTAATTCAAGTTTTTTTTTAATTTTTTTTCGTTTTACGCCAACGTAAACGACCAGTGGCAACCGGCTGTTGTGTTAAATAATGTACAAAACACTTGGAAAATACCGAGTTTCACTCAAATGTGTAAGTGTTGAAACCAAGCGTGTGAAAGTCGTAAAGGTTTTCAACCACAGCAGTTAATTGGTGGCATAAATCTAATTTTTAGTCAATGTTATTTTTAATTTATTAAAGAAGAGTATAAAAACATAGTAATGGGTGAAGCGTTTGCTATTAATTGAATTACTCCTATTTGTTTTTGTTTTTATTTTATTTTTTTGCGTAACTTTTACTTTACATATTACAAAATAGCTTTTTGTCAATTTATATCACCTTATATGTATTAATTATTTAATTTATTTTTAGTTTTTTGGCTTGCTGCTAAAGTTGATTCGGCTTTGTAAGGTGGTTATGTCTAAAATGCCGTTCCACGTAAGTGTTAAGTCTACAACTGATTGAATTTTTCAGACAGCGTTCTCAATAACTTGTTGTTACAATTATGATATTTATTTGTTACTGCTTTATGCTTGCGTACAATAAATAATGCGCAGAAAATTATAAAATTGATTTTTATTAATTTTTTTAATGCTTTTTCTGTTTGCTTGCTTCAAAGAGTATCTCACACTGTACTGCAGTTGCAATTTCCATAAATAACTGTATTTTTAAGCCTGTGCGCATAATTGCCTGCAGAAATTCTGCATACTAGCAGTTGTAATTTATTGCTAGCGTTTTTCTTTTTTGTTTTTGTTGCTTTGTATATTATTTTTAACAAATTTTTAATATGCGTTCAACTATTTGCAGTATCACTCCACCCACATTGGGCTTCGTATAATTGCTGGCAGACTTCGTATTTTGTTTTTGACTCTTCTTCTTGTTTTGTGTGTTTTACAAATTATGATTGACTTATGCTTTCGTTTGCTCCTTTCAACTTACGCCTTACACAAACCGTTTACAATTTAACAAGTCTTTTCTTTTTTTGTATTTGTTTCATGTTTTTGTTTTTGTTGCCATTCAAATCATTCAAATCATTGCATATACAAACTAGTCATTAGATTTTTTAATAATTCGAGTAATGTTTGCTTCTTTTTCGTTACGACATTTTGTTTATATGTATGTATGTATTTTATTTGCTCTAAGGAATTTGGTTTGCATAATTTGTAGTTTTTTATGTTCAACTTTTGTGTTTACAACTAAATATTTTAAATATTCATATGTATTTTTAGTATATGTATGTATGTATATGTACTTATGTATTTATATATAGTATGTGTCGTTCTCATATGTATAGGTTGTTAGTATGTATGTGTAAGAGTGTATATGTGTGTGTTTGTATATGATTGTGATAGTTTTTTTTGGTTTTTTAGTTTTACATTTTATATGCATACATTTACATATATACACACATATTGCAATTATTATAGTTTTTTGTTTTGATTTCTTTTTTGTAATTTAACGAAGATTCAAAATGCCTAAACTTTTTTGAATTTACGCGAAAATATTTCATTGCTCATAGTATGTCTAAATAATAGTGATAATTCAAAGTACATAAGTTTATGTGTTATATTGTTTTGATAGTTTTGCATTTAATAAACAAAATTTAATACATACATATACAATAATATATATTACTAACGTTCAAAAACAAAAACAAAACAAAAACAAAACAAAAAAAAGGATTGCTTTTATTTCCTGCTAATACATTTCTCAATTAACTAATTACTTTTATTGGATTATGCAAATGTGCGCATGCCATAAACACTTAAATAATTTAAATGAAGAGGAACAAAAACATAACAAATGTATTTTGCTCACAATTTGTTTAATTTATAATGCGCCATTGGTATTTGATTAGTGACAAGGCATAAATAGCTAGCATGTGCCATGAGACGACGCTCACACGCGTGTAACACAAGCGCACCAGCATATTTATATACTTGACACAATAATTACGCGGAATATATAGCTGTAGACATGTATGTATGTATGTATGTGCAAAATATGCAACAAACTGTCAACAATTTACTGGCAGCAAAAGTGCATTTTATATGCAAATAAACGCTTGAATTTTGAGTTTTGGCTTTATTTATTTGATAAATGAAACTCGTAGGCTTGAACAGCTTTAAGCTTAGTCGAAATGACATCGACTTCAAAGTAAGCACAGCTAAGTCAACGTTTAACCGATTTTTAACTGACTTTTTTGCATTAATTAAAGTTGCTTGTTTGACAAGCAGAAATGTCAGCAGCGTACAAGCATTTAGTACTAGCCGTTGGCGTTTCATTTGCAGATTTTTCAAAGTTGCATAATGTTGAAAATTAATTTACTTACTTAACTTAAGTTTAATTTGTTTAGTGATTATGTGTGTGTGCTTAGTATAAATATAACAAATACAATATATGCTTTGAGTTTGTCTATTATATTTTGTTTGTTTGTTTGTAGGTAATTGGTTTGAGTGTGACCAGATAAGTGAAGATATACTCGTTTTCTTTTTAATATATATATACTTGTATATATATATAAATTAGTGTACCGTCTAGAAGAACACTTAATGAATTAATTACGTTCTTACGCAAACAATATGATTGCATTTTGATTTTATCGTTTGTTTATATAAATTACACATGTCTTATTTAAATAGTTGTTTGTTTTTTGTTTTTTTGTTATTGTTAGTTATGCCTGGCGGCTATTGGCTGTTAGCATAACAGTATTTACTGTCTTTGATTGCCACTCATGAAAGTAATAATGGTTGGTATATAAATGATATGATTAAATTAAATACATATACTGTTATATATAATTATATATATATATACATATATAAATATATAAATAAAATCTTCACCTCCAAGCATTCTTTCATTTTAATTGATGCTTCAAAATAATTGAATTAATTAATATAATTAAGAGCAACTCAAATCGTTTCTAATAAATAAAATGCTGGTTATTTTACATTGTTCATTCATTAAATAAATCACTAAATTTCATTATGCTCAATGCATAATTTAACATGTAAAAACGCAATGAATGAATGAATGAATTCATGCTAAACCATTAGTTAATAAAGTGTTTTAATAAATTATGCTAGAATTTAACATTCTTCAGAGTGTGTTTAAATAAATTGTTTAATTGTTTATGCTTTTGCGGTGGTTTGCTTTCACTTATAAACGCAATATGCATACATACATCCACATATGTATGTATGTAATAGTGCTAATAGTACTTACAATGTATTTTATTTTTTAAACTAATCTTAGCTAATCAGCGTAATCTTAAAACTAAATTTTCAGCCAAATGTAAGTTGGCATACGAGTACGAATGAAATTAGTATGCTTAGTAAAACGCTACAAATATGTTTGTAAACTAACAAATATTGATTTGTTCGTGTGGTTTAGTTGTTTTCGCCGCATTCACTCGAGCCAGTCATTTAATTTAAATGTTGCTCCGTTTTTTGCCTTGAACTGTTGCAAGTTAGCAATGCTGCAAACAACGACGACGTAGCTAAACAAAGCACACTGGAAGTTAAAAATACCTGTGGGAAGTATAAAAATATATATATATTAGCGTAGAAACAAAGAATTTGTTTAACAAAATATTAGATACTAGTAGTTAGTGTTGCAAATAATGAATTGGATTAAAAAATTAAAAATTAAATTTTTGATGCAACAAATACCGGATTAAAAAATATAAAAAAATTTTAATTCCAAGTTTATAATACAAAATTAAAAAAATTATTTTTTTTTTAATTAAAAGAAATAAAAAAATTTTCATTTTCATTTGTCGCGTTTGCATACTTTGTGTTCTACCATTTTGACTATCTTTTGATAAGCAAAGCTTATTTTGAATAAATTTTTGTCTTCTTTATATTTTATGCATTTAATTATAGTGTTTCACTTAGAAATATGTAAGTGTTTTCTTTTATAGCCCTTTTCATTCCAGCTTTTGATATGAATAATAATATTTTTATTGTTGGAATTAATATTTAAATTTTAAATTTAAAATTTTTATTATTAAATTTAAAGATTAAATTTTCAAAATTTAAGCTCAAACTAATTCCGATTTTGGAATTAAAAATAAAATTTAAAATTTTTATTATTAAATTCAAAAAAAATATTTTCAATTTTTATTATTAAATTCAAAAATAAAATTTTCTTTATTTATTATAAATTCAAAAATAACATATTAAATTTTTATTAAATTCAAAAAAAAAATTTCAAATTTTTAGTGTTATATTTAAAAATAAAATTTTCAATTTTTATTTATAAATTCAAAACTAAAATTTTCAATTTTAATTTTTAAATTCAAAAATAACTTATTTAATTTTTATTAAATTCAAAAATTAAATTTTCAATTTTTATTCTTAAATTCAAAAATTAAATTTTCAATTTTTATTTTTAAGTTCAAAAATTAAATTTTCAATCTTTTATGCAAAAATTAATTCTGATTTTGGAATCAAAATTTAATTTTTTAATTTCTAATCCCAACAACTTGGATTAAAAACAACATTTTGAACTAAAAATTACGATTTACAATTTAAATAGGAGTTAAAATTTAAAAATCTAATTTTTAATAACAAAAAATTGTTTTTAAATTAAAAAATTCGCAACGCTGCCAACCTTTAGCAGACGCAGTACCGCATTTGTCTGCAAATGCGTATAACAATACTGCTTATTAGCTGTGCTGCCTAATAGACATATATACATACATGCATAATAGCTCATTGCCAGGGCTTACCTTATAAATAGTTGTAGTTATTTGGCTCACAATTCCCATAGTAGATCGCAGTTCGCACACTCCTCTCAACATTTGCATTGCTTGTGTGCTCATTATCGTTTTGAACTCGAAACCTCAGCACCGACATTTGGAGTGTACAAATTTACAAATATCCATGTATACATGATGGTGTTGGCATTGATTATACACGCTTCTTAAAATATGCGCACACACACACATGTATATATATATAGTTGCGCGTGCACAGAAAATTAAGAAATTATGCATTAATTTTTTGTTTAACGCCAAACTTTATTTGTTTGATTAGAACTAAGTTGATTTGTTTTGGTTTATGATGTGTTGAAATATTTATTTTTTGTAATATGTAGTTTGAGTGTGTTGTCATCAATAAATCAATGAAATTGCTTTCCTGTCATTCATTTTTATATATATACTATATATGTTCTATATAACATTGCTGTTTGTTTTAATGCTTAAAATTCGCTTTGCATTACATATTGGCAATTTGTAATAAACTTCTTTTTGTTCTCTTTGTTTTGTTATATCTGTATTTGTATAGAAATTTGTTGTGAAACCATAATACGTAATCAAACATTCATGAATGTGCTGTACACAAATCTCCTCTACCAAAATGCCCAAATCACATTTGACATTTAAAGATCATCTTCCTCGTCTGGTCCTTCAATTAAATCATCCGGATCGTACATCACAATATTATCGTCGGTTTCCTTTGCTGCGGGATCGTCGATTTCTTCAGCTGCTACCAGCGAACCATCGCCGCCATCAAAGTCAATATCACTGCCGATTCTTCGGCGCTTTTGTTTAAAATTATTGAGTGCGCTATTGCTAATACGTCGGCGCTGTAATGTTGGCACAGTGGTTGTGTCCGTTTCAACGACAACATCATGGTTTAGCACCTCATCGAGTTCCGTTACATCTACTGAAGCGGCCCGTTGTTGCTTAATGCGTAATTGTTCAAGTTCCTCGGGTGAACGTTTCTTACGAAACTCATAAACTAACGGGAATATATGTTCTATGGCAGCCTGTACATTAGCAACACTGGCAGCTAAATTGTTTATGAAAAAAGAAAGTGGATCCATTAATAAATGATATAGAGTAAAACAAACTAATTCGTTTAGACTTCTCACCAGTCACAGTTATACTGCCGGTGGAGAATATTTTCAAAGTGGCCTTTGGATAACGCAGCTTATATGTGACACCGGGATGTAACTCTGGCTCGTAACAGGCTTCTTTCTTGTATCTTTCTGAGAAATTTAAAATCTTAATAGCCCATGGCATGCTGCATGTGCCGAGCACATTAACAACTCGGAAATTTTGAAAACGCACACGAAATCCGAGTTTTTCAAGACAGCGTGAATAACGACGTGCCGCAATTTTTGCCTGCAAAATTACATATTTTATTACTGAACAACTCCACTATATTTCAATGACTATAGTGCTACAAATTTTCTTATAAGAGCTTATTACAATGGAAAGAAACTTTTACTACGAGTTTATAAGAAAAAAAAATAAAGAAAGTCGCTCCGTCCAAGCCGAAGAGAATAGAATTATTAAAAAATGTATTACCAAAATAAATCAATTAGAGTTAGTTAAAAACAAAAACAAAAAAAAAAACAATGTTGACTTCGGTTGCTATAATGCTTCGGTTATAATGCCATCACATAAAAAATCCATACAAGAATTTGATTTTGATCGCTCACTTTGTATGGCAGCTATATGACGTAGTGGTCCGTTCTGAACAATTTCTTCGGAGAAAGTACCTCTGCTTTGGACAATAATCTATGCAAAATTTCGTGAATATATCTTTTCAGATAAAAAAGTTTTTCGTACAAAGAGCTGTATTGGTATCGATCAGTTTATATGGTAGTTATATGCTGTAGTGGACAGATATCAGAGCCAAATGAGTAGCTTCTTGGGGAAAAAAGAACGTGTACAAAATTTCCGATCGGTATCTCATAAACTGTGGGAGTAGTTCACATATATACAGACGAACTTGGCTAAATCGAGTCAGCTCAGTGAAGAATATACTATATTTCTATCACAAATTGTTTTCAACTAATAAAGATAAGCCATAATCTAGATAGTTTAGTCACTAAAATGCTAGGCACACCCACCTGTTCCTCAGATGTAGCTCCCGTACATGTAATTCGGCCCGATGACCAGATTGACGCAGTCGTATAAGGCCGGCGCAGTTTCATAGTCACCATACCGTTTTCCCGACGATACTCCACATTGAAGCCCTTGAGTGCGATATCGCGCAAATTTAAATGGCAACGTACACTGAACGAACAGACAACATTATTAATAACGATGTCGATCTCTGGCTCGACCTCGGGTTCAGTATTGGAGGCTTCTGCACCAGCAGAGCCTTCTGGAGTGGCTGCAGCAACTGAATTTGTAGTTTTGTTAATTGCAACAGGTGTTGAATTGTGAGATGTGGCGGGTATGGTGCGTGAGTGTGCAACTATTTGTTTATGCTCTTGCGCTTGTCCAAGTTGCTGAGATTGAAGTTGTTGACTTTGGTTTTGGTTTTGTTGTTGTTTAAGTTGCTGCTGTTGTTGTTGATGATTTTGTAACTGCAACTGTTGTTGTTGTTGCTGTTGTTGTGGAAATACAGCCGCCGTGGGTAAGGCTTTGGCAGCCAATGCTGGCGTTGTGGCACTTGCAACATTTCCACTCGTATTACTGTTGTTGCTAGCTATACTATTGTTGTTAGGAACTGAATTTATGCCACCATTCACCATTGTCCCACTCGGTGTGTTGCGCGAGGATGCAGCCGTATTGGTTACTACTGTTGTTGTTTTTGTAGCAATTGTTGTCACCGAACTGCTACTGTGTACGATTGGCTTCACTAGTTGTATTTTTTGCTGTTGCAGCAATTGTTGTTGTTTAATTTGTTGTAAGGCCGTAAGATTTTGTCGTTGCGGTTGTTGTTGCAACTTCACAGCTTGAATGGCAGGAGAATGAGAATTAATTTGTGACTTATTGCCGAGCACAGCATTCGTTATAACAGATGATGGCGTCGCTGCAATATTGGTCGGTGGTTTATTTAAGATTTTGGCATGTTGCAAACGTTGTGTTGTATTACCAGCAATTATAGTATTATTGGAGCGATTAATAATGATGGTACGATTGCCCGTAGCTTTCGCGGCTACAATTGTTGGCGTGGCAGCTCCAGTCGTAATACTAGATGTAGGTTGTTGTTGATTACTAAATTGCGAAAAGTAACGTGTCGTAGGCACTGTTTGTACTACGCCTGTAGTTGCTGGTTGCTGAGTGTAAACAGTAGTTGTACGGTTAGTCGTAGCAGAGGATACCACATTACTTGCAGTTGAATGCTGTGCGGCGATTTGTTGTTGAAATTGCTGCTGAAAACTGCTAATATTAGCGTTAGTGGAGCCCATCGTAGTTGTGTGAATAGGTTGCACCGTAGGACTTGCTGTTGCCGCAACCAAGAAGTGCCCTTGTGTGGCCGTGGCGTTTCCTCCACCCGTATTTGCACTGGTTATCAGGGCTAAGCCGCCACCACTAGTTGTTACAATACTACTAATAGGAAGTGTCACCATTTCGTGAGGCATTAATACTCGTGTACCGGATGCTGCAGTTGTGGTAGCAACGTTGGAGTTTATATGTTGTTGCTGCTGTTGTTGTTGTTGTTGCAACAACTGTTGATATTGTTGATAGTTGATTATACTACTAGCACCGGTTGCTCCATTTGTTAGAACAATAGCCTGCCCACTGGACAAGACTAAATTACCACCCACACCACCACTGCCCAGACCGGCAATATTTGTAGCACCACCGGCTCCAACAACGGTTGCAACCGTTCCGCTTCCCACTTGTGATGTTCCCGCACCTACGCCACTTACAATACTACCAACAACTATTCCAGAGTTGCTGACGCTGTTTCCGTTATTGCCATTGCTACTGCCGTTGCCGCCACCATTGATAAGGGTCTTCATACAAGTAGCCTTGTTCTGTTGCAGCAACGTGGCCATACCAATGTTGCTGCTGTTAGTGATATACATTTGCCCAGTCAAACTAGTGAATAGATTCTTCGTTTGTTTTCTTTCTTTTTTTGAGTAAGAGTATTTTTTGTTTATCTATGCTTATTGTTTCAACGCGTAGAGGCTAGACTAGGTCACTTTAATGATTCCTTTTGCTCAAATCAAATTATGTACAGTATACAGCGCTTGTTGGATTGATATGCTTGAAGGCTGAATTTCAGCTTGCTGGTCTTATCAATTTATTTATGTACATATGTCAGTGTTATTTTAATATGTCTGTAACAGTTTTCGAAACTTTATTATGTCGTTATTCTATGCGAAAACAAAAAAGTTGCTATGAAGTATTTTATGTTTGCTTTGTTTACTTGCCACTTGCTCAAGAGTGTGCAACGAAAAAGTTGTGGCGTTTCCTGTGATTTTTTGTTTTGTTTTCGAAGTAAATCTTACAGTTCAGTGCAATTTGTTCCAAATACTAGAAAAATTAAGTCTTCCTTTCTTTCTCCTTTTGTTGTTGATGTCTCAAATGTTAGTATTTTCTATATTTGTTGTTCCTTTTTGCAGTCTAAAATATAAAAAAAAGCATTTATAGGTTAGAAATTAATTTGTATTTAAATTTAAATTCACAGATGATTTACAATTTTGGCTCTTTAGCCGTGTATAAACCTAAAAATAACACACAAGGTAGCCCATAATATAAGCACAACTGCAGCTGATCCTTGCGCTCAAACAAATAAATAATGGACAGGTATAAAGGATCTAAGAAAATTCGATTTCTAAACAAATGTTATCGTTACCTCGATCCTTATTCAAGAGCTGCCACATTATGCTTAATGCTCACTTAAATTCGTTAAGGCTTAGAAATTAAAAAAAAAAATCTATTACTGAAAACGGAAGAAGCAAAGTTTTGTGGTAAGAAAACAGTTGTAAGACGAAATAATGATGACAAAATATAGTTCCAAGGATATAATCATCATAACAAAATTGATTAAAGATTTGAAAAAACTTTCCGAATTTAATATTTGCGCAGGTACAACATTTTTTAAAATAAATAGCATCCTGTAATAATTTATATATAAATAAATATACAAAAAAAATGCAAACGATTTATCGTTTTTTTATTTCGATGTTGATTAAACATTTCATCAAATACCTTACTACATATTTTTGCTATGGACAAAAATCAAATTTTGCGCGTAAACAGCTTATCGAGATAAAACAGCTGATAATCAACTCCAATTAAATAATAATAACATGTAATCACACATTTTAGCGTATTTTTCAGTCATCTTAAGCCCTTTGATATATCAGTTTCCCAATAAATACATTATGCTACTCAATAAACTACAAAATAAGTTTGTTAGGTTATTATGTGCATATATACATATATATGTACTTTTCTCTATAAATTCAATGTATGTATGAATATGTTTGTTCCGTAAGCTTTCGTTCGAAACTCTGTAAGTACAAATCTACAAAATACCGCTATCTTAAACTTATAGGGCTAAATGTTGAACGAAGCAGCAGTGAAATTTGGTATTCTGTCCGAAAAAAAGCAATATAAAGTTTTATGGGAAGCAACAGCAACAAAACTGCTTTTCATTAAAAGTACATAGTTTTATACGTATGCATATATATGTACAAGCTTGTGTGTTACAAAACCCATTACAAAATGTGGAAATGTAGTAAAACAAAGCAAGGGAGATCGGAAGTGAACTGTCGTACGTTAAAATAAAGAGCGTGCTGCTGAGAGTGAGAACGATATATAACAAAACTAAGAGATAAAACAAGAGAGACTTAAACAGCTGCGAAAAGCAAAACTTCGCATGCACGTGTTTTTGTGCAATTGCCTCACCACCAAAGCGTTGGCCTCATTTCATTGTTCTCTGGAAAAATACGCGTCATAACGCCGCTGTTTAACGATCTGTCAGCGTTCGACTTGGTAAAATAAGTAATATTCAACAAATGCGTCAACAAAGTCACATTTTTATATGCATACGCTAGAATTATAAATGTAGAACTATTATATGTTTATGTAAATACATTTTTAGCACATCTACAGAGGTTAATATGAATTACACCAACGATAAAGTGTGCAAAACACATGGAACTAAAATTGAGTGGAAAGAATAATGATAAATACGTAACAATAGTTCTAAGCACACGTGTATATAATAAGTAAGTGTGTAAATATGTGTACATTTATACAAATGTATGTTTTTCTATATTTAATTATATATGTACATACATACATATGTAAGTAATATTTACATTAAATATTAGCAGCATGTGGCCTGATTTGTCCTACAACCAATTAGCAAATAACAATTATTTTTTTTTTGTATGAAATAAAATGTATGCATATTTGATATACATACGTACATACGTATGTATGTATGTACATCGTATGTCATCTTATGCTTCGTTAAATCATTTACTTTTTATATTTTTCATATGAAATAAATTAAAGCAACTGCGGCAAATTTGCGGACTGCGCAAAATACTTGCAACTGCCGTGTCTATTAATTGACTCCATATATACACACATATAACTGCTATGATGCACATATTGCGTCAGCGGCTGCAACCGGTCGCATGAAAAGTGTCATTGCAGTTTAGTGCTAGTCAGATGCGCCACCGATATACATGTACATATGTGTAAAGATGTATGTACATATGTACATACGTAAACATACTGACACAGACGACAACTGCGACGCCAACACTGTTCCACTTTATGTTAGCAATTTTGCCCTTGACCCAAAATTGCACGCGTATTGTATGTAGAAACATGCAAATAAATTTAGTTATGTACATACTTATCTAAGCATAAAGATCTATTTCCACGTAGAATTTTTTTGAGGAAAAGTTAGCAAAAATATTTGTGTGCAGCACTGCCTAATGCATTCTATACATATGTACATATACATATGTTTCTAAGTATGTATAAATATTTGTATATTTTGTACATAAGTATACTAAGTGCACACACATTTATACATGGTCGTAGAACAAAAAGTTCTGGAAAAAATTGCTCCAGAGTTCTAGGCCCGAGAGAGATCGTCTCCGATCTCCTCCCTCATTCCTTCATTGTATTTTTGTATTTACATATGTAAGTATTATATACATACATTCATATATGCGTATAAGCTCTGTAGTGATCAAATTGCTGATAAATGGATCACACAACTTGCATTCAGCACATACTCGAGTATATATTTTTAGATTTTAAGTAGAGATGTATAGTTCTATTTTAAGGCAATCTCACTTGTAGCTTCCTCACCCGACAACAGCATTCAAAATACAAATGTACATAAGTATATACATACATATATATGTATATGTAACCAGAAAAAGCATTTATTTGACTATACATTCATACATATATATGTACATACTTACAATATATATAATGCTTATTACATGCAGTGACGAAATAACTTTTTCTAATAACCACTTGGCAAGGCATTATTTCTTAATAAATCAGTTTATACTGTTATTTAGTAAATTTTTTAGAAGAATTAAATGATGCAGCTAATGAGCCATAGGTGATTCTTGTTAATTTTTTTATTTTGCGTCAAATTTACAAAAAGTAAATAATCATACTTAGTTTGTTCGAAAAGAATTTCATGGTTTAAATACATACATCTGTACATACAAACATGTAAATAAGTCAGTACACAAGCACGTAAAAAAAGGCACATAGTAATTAAAACGGTAATTGGCAAGCTTAGGAATCGTCGCAATAAGGGCAAGGCAATTGATAGAACAAAAAAAAAACTAAAAAAACAAGTATTCGAATAAGAGAGTATGCTCGCAAAGCACACAGAAGTGAGAGCACACATCGCGCAGTCAGCCAAAAAAAAAACATTCAAAGCTACGAAATGGGATTTTGACAATTATCAGCAGTTACATATTAATACATACATACAAACAGAAATATTTACGCATGAATGTTATTTGACAATAGCAAAATTCGAAATTGAAAATTTTGCGTCGGCGTTTAAATTTATTTAAATTACTTCATTACTTATATGTTGTGGAAATGAGGGAATAATTTACATGCTATATTTATTATATATTTTGCTATATTTATTTCAGCATGTCTTTGAATAGAAAAATTTCGTTTCTAATGCATTTATAGAGCGCTTTCGTCATTGTTACCATTTCAGCTGTTTTGTGTTGTGTATTTTCAGTTTCGTTGCTCTCTGTTGGTGCTATTTTTAAAATTCTCAACCATCTCAATGACATTTCGTTGCGGACAACAATGAAACGAAAATAAAATGTGGTTTGATCGAAATTTTTGAAATAATTTACGGCTGTGTAAATTTGTACATAGAACGAGTAGTCTTGTTTATGAATTATCTTTCTTGCGCGTCAATCAACGAATTAATGATGATGTGTGTTCAAGTCCACAGTGAGTTACATAAGTATTTACATACATATGTATGAACAAAATTGCCACGACAAAATGCTCATAAAATCTCATGCTATTTTAAGAGAAATACTGAGGCACGTGTTGAAATCATTTAGTTAATGCGAAACTGTGTACAAATACACATAACTACTTGATTTCTTATTTTTATTATTGCAAGGCACTGAGATATTGACTTGTTTTTTATAATCGTCATACAATTGTGCACGTAAACGCTCATCTACAGGCAACTGCAACATCGTTTGTCTATAAACGAGTATGCACAAATACTTACATCTGCTGGCGAGTTAATCGCAATCTAAGCGATCTACATCAGGTTCAAGGTTAAAAGCTTCCAAAATTATTGGGAGTCATGCTTTCATTGAAAGCTTTTGTAAATAAATATGGACAGCTGTTTAAAGTCTAGATTTGAGGCCTACATATGTATGTACATACATAAGTATGTGCATAAAATGTTTATTACGACTTTTTTTTGGTAAAATATTATAATATGCAAAGTCAATGGCTCGTTAAAGTTGACGCAATAAATAAATACATAAATTTGCCGAAAATGATGTACATACATACATATGTATCTACAAAAATAAATCTAGCAATGACATGTGTTTGTTTATGTGAGTGCAGAACGTAAGATATGAGAATTTTGCGAGAGACCGAATTGATATTTTCTCAATTTTTCAAAAGAGTTCAATAACATTGTACTTGTTCTCTCGCTGTTTTATGTTGATTAGTTAATTCATTTCAGAATAAACAACAGCTACTTAACGGGGCATATTATCGTATGGACTTATTTTCATAAGCCAATATTCCCAGTGGTTGGAATGTGTTCAGATTTGCAATACTTTTAGTGACATCTGTAATAAGTAAAACTGTAGTATTCATTAATGCGATTGTATTAATTTGGTAGAAAATATATTATATACATACATACATATGTATGTATGTACTTGTGTACGTATTTTCTGAAGCTGAAGAATAATAAAAACAAGAAGAAATGTTATCTTCGGCTGCACAGAAGCTATAATACCCTTCACAGCTCATTTCTTATAATATAAAAGAGTATAAAAAGATCTTTATCTTGACAGCAACATACATATGTTACGTATATATACATATGCTATAGTGGTCCGATCTAAATAATTTGTTTGGAGATTATAAATTTGCCTTGGAAAATAATCTATGCCAGATTTCGTGAGGATAATTTGTTATATAAAAAAGTTTTTTATAAAAGGACTTGATTTGAATCGTTCAGTTTGTATGGCAGCTATATTTTATAGTGAACCGATATCGGTGAGTCTATAAAATTAGCAGCTACTTGGGGAGAAATGGATGTGTGCAAAATTTCATTTCGATATCTCGAAAATTGAGCGAATAATTCGCGTACATACCGACAGACGGACTGTTTAAATGGACTCAGCTTGCCACACTGATCATTTAGTCATATATATGTATGTATACTTTATAGGGTCTGCAACGTTTACTCTTGGGTTTTACATTCTTCGTGGGAAACTTAGTACACCCTGTTCAGGGTATGAAGACAGTTTCTATGAAATCGAAAGGAAACTGGATTTAGATGTATTCAGATAAGCGCTATCACTACTGCAGCGCTACCTTAACTATTCAGGGAGGTATTTACAACAATAATGAAATACATACGTATCCAGTTTTAAATACAACTGAACCTCACACCAAGACGCTGCAAGTCAATATGAGAAATCAGTGCTTGAAATGCATATGCAACAGCTGACTCGTGTCTCATTACCACCACCGAACCTAAAGACAACTTTCACAACGAAATCCTGCGTACTTTCTTGCACTTATCGCAGCAAGAACATTTACGTACATATCTAAATTTTTACGTAGGACACAGTAATTGCCAATGACTATCAAGAGGTGCATGGCCTATAAAACGAAAAATGGCGTAAAACGAAAAATGAGTATCTTAAAAAGTCAAAAGTCGTTGAACTCGTTTTTCACGCATACACACACATACCTAAATATATTTGTATGTATGTGTTTATGTTTGCACTTATATATTTAATTATATGGATATATACACGCATACATACATATTTATATATTTATTTATTGTTCATGCACATGCATAACCACAGCGGCAAGAAACTTAAACAGATGTCAACGCCACCTTTGTTGTCCTAGCAGTCATTGCTGTAACGAAGAATCACAATTTTTTTTGATTGTACGGTAGTCTCCCGTTTGTTGCTTCAGCAGCTCAGACAAAAAATTCAATAAACAAAAAATGCGATTTATTTTTCATCGATTAAATGCAAGAAAGATTACAGTAACAACATTATCGGAAAACTATAACATAAATATGTGAGTGCCATTTGCTGAAATAATAACAGCTTTGACTGAGGGACTTGAATACTTACATATAACTAGATTAATTTTTTATACATTTTTTATAACTAATGCAATTTAGTTTAGATTAAAAAATATATAGCACTAAACCGATTTTTTCGACAGAATGAGTCATAAGTAAAAAAGTAATTTCCCCGTTTGTTGAAATATTCTTATTTTTTCGAAGACCTAACTTTGGGAAAAAGTTATTTTATGTGCAATAATAACGATGTCTGAAATAAGCTCAATTTCGATTTTCGAGGCTAACTTCGAAAAACTGAAAAATTGCTTTTTTACTTATACCCAATCTCCCGAAAATATTGGTTTGGTCCAATACCCAGAAAAATAGTTGCATAGTGTAATAATAATAATAGTAACTTTTTCCTCTCCTAAAGCTGGAATCAAAATTTATTCCAGTTCAATTATCCGAGGACTACTGTACATATAAATTTATACGAACTGGAGCCTGTCTGCGCAGGATGTATGTACATATGTAGAAGCATATATGTATATATATTAAGGTTGAACGAGTCTACAACGGAATATAAAAGATCTCGAAGCGTGTTTATATAAAAAGTTCATACCCAAGTGCACAAAGAATATTATTAGATATTCTCCAACCTATTTTAAATGAAAAAATAAATGGAAGAAGCTTCGAAACTGCTACACGGCTATCTAATATAATATATGGTACATATTTGTTTGTACGAATATCTTGAAGATGAGAGAGTTTCACAGCGAACGACCTTGAGCAGTGTAAATGTACACACAAATTTCAAGGGGCAATGGCAAATGTTGGTATGACACATGATTTTCAGAAATATTCCATTATATACAAACATAGATATAAGCATACATATATACATATGTATGGTACATATGGATTTGCATAAAGTCTAATAATAAAGCTATGTACCTCATGGGTCTGTGTATACTTGTAATATGTAGAACGCAAATTAAGTTTCAGCTTGACCAGCATTTGTTCAAGTTAATGAAATAAATCCATATGTGTTAATTGTATGTATGTACACACACATACATACATATGTTATCGTTAAAATATCATACTGCTTATAGTTTCAACACTTATCGCCAATTACAAAGTGTAAATTCTGAGCGATTTTTAAAATGTAGAACATCAGTTTTACAAACAAACATACACACATACTTATACAGTATAGATGTTGATACATACATACATACATAATTACATAAGTATGTATGTATGTATGTGAATATGTGAACATTCATAATTTGAACTAATTAACATTTGTACGGTAACTGTTGATTACTTTTTGGATACGATTTTTGAATTATGTAACACAGAGTAAATCTTTGTAAAGACAATACTCATAGCTAGCGATCAGTAAGAGAATTAATAATCCGCTTGAGCATAAATCATTGTTTGAACTCAACATCTCAATATCAGCCGTTTTGCTTTGTATTGTTTTGTTTTTATGATTCACAAATTTATTTTTCAAAGACTTCAACCAATGAAATTTCGTGTTTTGAGTGATAACTGAATACTAATAGATTGTAAATCCAACAAAATTATCAAAGTCTAAACAATAATATTATGAGATTTTTCTCACTTTTCCGTAAGAGGAAGCACGCTTCGTATCGACACAACCTTATATAATTGAATTATGGAAGTAACACAACCTGTATATATATACAGACATACATAATTGAATTTTGATGCTCAGAATTTTAATTTAAAAAGAAAATTTAATTTTTTGAGTAATGAAACTTTTCGAGAAAACAAGCAATGACCCTGTTTTCCTAGGTTTGCATTTTATTTCTTAACTTTATTTGTTTTTAAAAGTGGTTTATTCAAAAAATTACTACTTCTATATAGAATACCCAAATAATACTCTAAAAAGAAGCGATAATTAGAGTTGTCATATTTCATTTTAACCGATTTTTTCGTATTGAGATCACATGTACCGAAGATACTCATTCATTGAAAGGCATACAAAACGAAATCGCGTTTGTCAATTAACATATTTACTTTGTGCGTACATATATTGTATATGTATGTATCTATTTATGTAAGTGTGTAGATATGTAGTTATGTCTTTATGTATGAATACCTACATACATACATACATTCGCGTTGTGTAATAAAGCGTATACTTTTACTTTCAAGTCTTTCTTGTTATTGTCTTCTATTTCTTTTACTATGCGGCGGACTTCTTTCACCGCATAAAATAAAGCTAACTGCTTTATGGAGGTTAAGTTTTCTATTTTCTTTTCAACGTCTGCCTAATTTTTATAAACTACAAATATGCATACAATTGGACATTAATGCGTTGGCTTGTCAGAGCTCTCTTGAAGCTTCTTTACTTCTTTTACTTCATACATACATATGTATGTATGTACATAAATAAGTATTTACTTGTACACTCTTCGCTCTACCGCTTATTCTTTGTTGCTGATTTTTTGGCTCCTTAATTGGGGATTATGTTTGTATGTGTGTCTTTATGTTTGTATGTACAATCATATGTATATTGGTGTATACCCAAATGTGGCTATCCGTTAAGTGCTCTAGTCAATAACGGTTTTGTTTATAACTGCCACCTAGAAATGTGGAAGGTTACACATATGTACATACATACATTATGATGTAGATAATTTGTTACTGAAGACACTTCAAAGTTTGGAAAATATTTGCGATAATTCAAGTGTGCTCGTTTAGTCCAATTGTAATGCAATCATTTGATCGACAATGGTTAATATATTATATACAAACATATATATGTATGTACATTCGTGATAATTAGCAAGTTTTTTACCATCTAGGCTTGAGTGATAGAATAACTTTAATGAAGGTTACAATGGATCTTTAATCATTTTGAGTAGCGATGTTCGTGCACGAATTGTAAAATACTTCAGTTAAGCGCACAAATGAAAAGATCTTTCTGCACACGGTTGGTTTAGGGCAAATGCAAATGGGGATGTGCAAAATCAGAATCTGCAGTTGAAACACTTTTGCATATACTATATACTAAGTGTGTACATAGTAAATATTTCTTTATACAAAATATTTTAATTGTTCGAAATATACAATACTTACATACATATATGTACATATGTAGTTATGAAGGTATGTATATAGGTACATAAGTATATTTTAGTACGTACATACATATACATATGTATGTATATATGGGATAGTGCCTACACAAATCCTTTTTCCTCACTTGTGGACATTTATTTACATCCGTAAATCCTGCAAGCCAGTTCACATGCCCAGTGCAACATTTCACTCGCATAGAAACATCTAAGAAAAGAAACCAGATGTGGTAAAGAAAAGAAGAGGGTAGCAGAAACGTAGTGCTTGTTTGTAATAGTGTGAATAAACACCTGCCCCGAACAGCTGTTTTGTACCTTTCTGACGCTGCTGCTGACGAAAAGGTGAGCACGTTAAGCGTAGCGAAAAAATTATACATTGAAACATACATACATATACATATGTATGTACAACGTAGATGCCCGTGTTGCTACGGCGTTATGAATTTCGTTTCGGCTTCTGTCGTACAGAATCGTGTTTAAATTCAACTCACAAGATCGCCACAATGCATGAACAATTGTTTGTGACGTTGTTGGGTGGTGGTATATTATCGCAAACAGCGTTATGTTTATACATATATACATATGTACATATAATATATATGTACATATCTGTGCAGGTCCACATATTATAATTGTGGCCGTAAGTTTAATGTTTGCGCTTAAAGTTTTAATACGGAAAATATAACAAGTTGCCTCGGATCGTGCTCACTTTTGACACGATATTTGCACAGTATTGTTCAATTAATGCATTTTGATAAATTCGAGCATAATATTGACTTAAACGTGTTAGATAATTTTCAGTTTTTAAGCACTTCCATTAATTCAAACGTAAATAAATTATTTGGCAATGTTAAGATAGTGGCATGTGTGCCCTCACAAAGCGAGCGATAATGGAATTATCGTAAAATGTATCGATCAAATTTCATGCTTAATATGTAATCTTAAGAATATTTGATGCATAAATCTATGGGTTTTAACATTATAAGCCTTAAGGATGACGAAAGTAACATAAGTATGTATGTATGTATATTTCCTAAAATTACAATGTGGATGTGCTTCGGCTCTATGTATTTGAAGTCGGTTTCAATTTACAAAAATATGCACATATATATATACATAAATGCACTTACATAAATAAACGAAAGAATTATTTGTTATTTCACTCCGCTTGTTTATATAAATCGGTAGTAAAATACAACAAAAATATATTAAAGCATTTCCACTCTAAAATATTTTGATTTCTTGACGTTATGTAAATATTTATGAATTTAAATTAAAATCATGCATATGTATGTATGTATGTACATATTTCAGTATATGAAAATATATACATATATATAAATACGTATACGTAGTGGAATTGATCAGCTGATTGATTAAGAAACTAAGGAACAGAGTGGCGGAAAACCGAATGGAAAATGGAACATTTTAACACGCATTTTAAAATAACAACAATTGCAAAGATTTTTGTATAAATTATATTGATACTACACCAAAAGCTCTACATTTTTTTAAGCTTGGCAAACACGTGCGTTTATAAACCACGTGATACTGGCAATACCTCTATAAAAAAACACAACGGTTTATATGAATGTACAATGGATAAATTTATAAATATTATATATATATATGTACATTTGTACATACATACTTACATACACAAATATCTATAAAATTCGATTATCCAAATTTAGATTAGAATATTTACACATCTTCATTATCGACAATGTTTCTAAATTGTTTGAACCCTGACGAACAATTTGTTACAAAATCTAATGAAAACAATAATTATATATTATATTTCTTATCTTGTATTTGATTTATAAAATGCGCACGCCCTCATATACAATAAAATCGGTATGCGAACGACTTCCTTTTGTAGATAATTACATCACTAAGTTGAATTGAAAATGCATATCTCTCGTACGCTCTTACGCGAGCGCACTCATATAAAAAAGAGAGAGCAGAAAATTGCAAAGTAATGCAAATATACTTGCAATTATAACTACTTAACTATAATTTTAATTGGCACCAACTTTAGGGTACGCTTAAGTAAGAAAATAATATATTGCAGAAAAATAAATAAAATTAGTATTGCTATACCACGAATATGTGAGATGGCCCTACGGAAACCAACCTAGGTAAATGCATATACATACATACATTCATGCATACACAATTTGGTATACATATCTAATGTGCTCACTATTGTGCTTTTTGCACGACAGCATTTTGTGCTCTTCAAAAGTCGATTTCGCTCTCGTCGCGACGCAAGCTTTCTAATCGAAATGATTAACCTGAAATGAAATGCTATTGTTGTCGACTTCGTTGCCAATCCGAACAACATTTACTAGTTCCGATTCATACTCATGGCTGAGTTTCTATTTGAACGTTACATTTAGTCGTCTGCGGCGTGTGTACACGCAGCGAACAGAGCGCCAAAATCGTTGGAGGGGATGTACTGCGCTTATTGGTAACACCAAAACGGTGTGGTTGACGTAAAAATTCTACCTCTCCCTCCACAACGTTAGCTACAACTCTGCAGTCGCGTCGCGTCGCTTAAATTATTCCGTTGTATTTATGGTGGAAGTGTGCGAATACACTAATGTTCCTTCTGCTATTCGTAAGATACATACATATTTGTTGTTGTTTTTGTTATTCATCTTTATTTCGGCCTTTGTATATTTACAACATACTGATTGTACGACAAGAGCACGAAATAAGACATCAGAAATATGCGCAGGGACTTGACTTATGTATGTACCTACACGTGTGTGTAGGTATGTTTGTCTGCAGTTAATTTTAGAAAAATATACAATATTGCGATAACACCAATCAGTGTCAATAAATGTACACACAGAAGTACATAAGTATGTAAGTTTTAAGCCCCAAAATGTTACAGTTGTATACATATTTCCGAAATATCGGAATAGGTACTAAAGATGATAAGACAATGCTTTTGTTTAAGCTGTATGCACAAGTTCATTTGAACATCGTAGATAGTACAAGTGTACCCAAGAAGTTTATAGTATTCGTGATTTAGTTGCTTAAATAGTAATTAACTTGTGGAATGTAATGCCTGCTCTTCCTCGAAAACAAAGAAAGCAACAAAGAAGTCATGGGTATGAAAATTGTTGTACTTATTTTGGCACCGACGTAATTTTAATTAATTCAATATCATTTTTCGTATACAAATGTATTTGCATATGAATTTATAAATGCAATGGTATATGACGAAATCGTCAGTCGCAAATAACCTCAACTATAAAATACTCTCACATTTTTTCGTGAAAAATCCATCGTTATATTTTGACTTCATTTATGTGCTTATGTATATGTGTGTACATTTGCTCTCTTGTGTGCTTAAACTCATTTTCTCAAAAGTATGCATGCCAATAAACAGTTAGTGAAAGCGACAAAGCAACAAATTATCCGATAGGCGACAAACTACTTGCGCAGGGAGAGCACCTGGAGTCACAAGTACAAAGGTATAGTTGGAAAATATACACACACATATGTAAAAAGGTATCAAAATCGTTAATAGAATATACGAAAATTACTCTTTGGCCATTCATATTCCGACTGTAATGGGCAAAAGCGACACAATTTACTACAATTTCATTTTCATTCAGTCTGTGAGTGAGATCTGGTGAGAATCGTACGAAACGACGAGAAGCAAAACAAATTTCCTCCTTTTTAGTGCATCTCCCAATTCGTTAATTTTGCGTATTTATATGGTAAATTCTCTAAATGTCAAATTGATAAAACAGTTGTCCCATTTCCGTCTCTTTTTTTGCTTTTAATGTATTTGTTTATATGCATGTATGTATGTTGCCTACTGTAAACTGTTAAATAAAAGAATGCAATTTACATTTATTTTTTTTCTGCAATTTTTTGCCTTCAGTAGCAAAACGCAACAAAGAATTTTATTCAGCAACTTTTCCGATTTTTTCTGCAATGAATCATCGAGCAATCAACTTATTCACTAGGTTATACAAAGACAATAAATCAACTCAAAGCTACGCATACGATATTAATTTACATGTGTATGTATGTAAAAAACAATTTACGATAGGTAATTTACTTAAATTCAAAAATAAGTAGTTATTTGTAAAAATGAGATTCACTTCACCTCTTTTTAAATCTTTTATTTAACAAATTATTGGTAAGGTTGCATGTATTCGCTTGGTCATCGCTTTCAGCTTTCCCTGTGGTTGTTGCGCTGCCACAATGAAACGTTGGGTGTGGGACTTTTCGATGAATTATATGCCAGACTCCAACGATACACACCTTTTTGCTATTTTTCTTTTTGTATTGTTACATTTCCCAGTTCCATGGAAAAGTCATAATAAATATTTTCAAACAACACCGTTCTAAAAGATAACAAATAACCGTATTTTTTTTTTAAACAATAGCGATTAATATGTAGTGATAATAAAATATTGGTTAACCCGACGTCGCTGTGTCAGCGTCAACAACGAACGTGGTGCTTCTTCTTTTACAAAATATTAACTTTCCGCACATAAACTCATACACGCGCACATATCATTTTCTCTCACGGCGCACTATTTCAATTTCGTTTCGGAGAGGAAATTTTGACTCTCTGCAACTCGTAGATCTAGTCTCGTTTGCAGTGTCGCGCTATTGAATCTTTCGATTTTGATTTGTTGCCGTGACTTTTGCACGCCGTTGATGCGGTTACCGCTTGACACTGAGCGCAGTTCGTCGCCGCGCCGCGTCTCGCGGAGCGAACAATTCGAACGCGACTTGAGGAACAGTTGATTTTTGGCTCAGCGACGAGCACGAGAAACCGTCGTCGTTTCACTGCGTAGACCTTCCGTCTTACGAGTAGAAAATTTCTTGTCGTCGCCGTCTTCCGTGAATTTTCATCAATTTTTTGTGACTTGTACTGTGCCTTATATTTTGTTTTACAAGTTCCTAATTACGATTTATATAAATTTTAAAGGCTCACAATACCAAAGTTTAGTGCAATATAGCGAAATGTTATATATTTGTGTTGTAATTATTAATATATAAAAAATGTGGAACTAAATCTCACTTTGATTAGTCATATAAGTATACATATATGTATTCATATATTTTATACGTAATTAGGAAAAACGGTTCAACCGTCCTTTTTCTCCGTGATTTGGTGCAGTGTCTTTGCTTTGGTGAAAATCTGAAAATCGTATTCCCGTTGGAATCGCATAAAATTTAAAAAAAAGAAAGCGAAATGTATTTACATAAAAGTATTTTTGTAACTCCGATTATGCATTTGCTGTGTTGTTCTTGTTGTTTTAATAACGGTTAACGTTTTAAAATGAACGTGTTTTTAACACTTTCTTAATTTTTGTTTTGTTTTATTTGAATTGGAGTCTCTTGTTCAATTAATTAAAATATATTGTTAAATATTAATTAAAGTGAAGAGCGAGCGAGCGCACGTACGACACACAACGAGCAACGAACGACGAACGACACAGCCATCGCCGGAGTGTTGTGGCCATTTTGTACTATGCTACAACTCAGCTAACCAGGCTGGCGATTCACATTCGGTCTGTCGTTCGTTTCATTTCTGTCGCGTAGCGTAGCAGGAAAATGGAGCGAACCTTTGGTATTAGCTGTCATACTTGACAGTTAACCTAATCGGCAACACTGCAACAAAAAAAATATATACATATATAAATGAGCTCACAAGTCACAGACGGTTATTGGTTTAAACTTAAAAATGTGTGGAAAAAGAAAATAATAGTAAATAGCAATATATATTTTAAATCGTCCATAAAGTTATCGTTGATTATAAATAATAAAATGGTTATCCAGGATAGTACAAATTTCAATCAACGCTAAGCTTTTTGCTTGTTTGAGAAAAAAAATACAACTCTGTTTCTCGGTATTTTGTGCGACCAGCAAAGGGAGTGGAAGTTTTGTTTTGACAGCCAAACAAACGGATACTGCCAGAAACAGCTGAAAGGAACAGGCGTCAGAAAATGAAACAAAGATGCATTTGAAAATGTGATTGCAATATCATCATCACGTGTGTTTGATATGTTGACCTGCCATTTAATAGACCATTGCCAATTTCTATATAGAACAAAGTAATCTTTTTAAAGCATGAACAACAGAAATAATTAGAATACTACAAAATTAATTTACAACGAATGCCGTTTAATGCAAACGAAACAGTTAGAAGCAAGCATAATTCTCTATGTACATACATAAATACAATACACCTACTCATACATAAATGTATATACTTACATATCAGTCATTTAATAAAATACTTTATGTCAAAAACTATTTTCGTTAAAAACCAAATACATATGCCTAATATGTAGTAATGTTTTTTATTCTTTTCAGTATAAGCAAACATAAATTCAATTGAACTGTATTTACATGGATGTAGTATTTACGATAATCTTAATCAAAAACAATATGAATTTAGTAATGTTTGGGAATTCTTCAGGAATGGATCACTAAATATACATATGTACAATATTTTTAATTTACATATACATACACATGTAAATATTAAAAAATATGGGTGCTCATGCTACATTGTTCTTATCTTTGCACTGTGACTCAAGACTAAGCTTATGTGTTGATTTTGGGTTCGCACACATTCTGATGAAATAACCGCTTTTGAAAACATATTCATGTTTGTATACAAAAATGTCATAGTTATGTTAAGGGATAAAGACCTTATCTCGCCATTCAATTCCATCAATCCAACTAGTAACAATTTATTAATTTACTCCTACAAATTACGATGGAGGATCATAGCAACTGTTTATATATCCATACCGATAAGAAACTAGTTTAATTTAATTTATTTCTGTATATTACAAGAGCTGAATATTGAAAAGAACAAGTGAAAAGGACACGTCTCTCTTATCGAAAAGAACTCCACATGCGACTGCGTTTATGGCCAAAGTACAAAGCTTAACCCCACCAGCATTTAAAAGAAAGAAAAAGTTTTTGACAGGATGCGTTCTGAAATCACATTTAAAACGAGTTGTGCTTGATAACATTCCTTACACACAACAAACAGCAGACTCTGTTTACCTACTAATTACTGCTTTATTGTACACAGAGCGTTACTCGGCACCTTCCTGCTTCGAATGATGAGCTAAAAAAATTGCGCTTTGCATATTTCAGCACGTCAAGTTCCTATTCTACCAAACTAAGCGCCGGTGTACCCAAAACAAACATTAATTCAACATTTTACTAATCTCCGCATGACACTAAACAATTCTCTGAATGCCCCTCAACCGCCTCCAAAATGCTATTTCCAAAAACAGCACGTTTCCTAACCCAATCGCTGATGAAGTCACCTGAACTCATCTCTAAACAATGTTGGAACAAATCCTACAACAAAAGGTTCTAAAAGGACTATCGGCAATTATATGTAGTATAACAAGAAGGACAATGAACTTTCAATTTTAAACAAAGCCCATGCCTCTCTACGTTTGATGTTTTTTATAGCATTAATCGGAATTGGTTGGATTAAGGTGACGTCAGAATGGACGTTAATTCGTAGCTGAAAAGTATGCAACTGACAGCTGAGTTTGATGTTTACATTTATATGAAGCGCGACATTTTGGCAATGCGTTCTCTACCGGAGAAGAATCCGCTAGATCAACACTCAACTTTTTGCATACGGCAAATATGGCAAAAAAATGGATTATAAATTAATCGAGGCAGTGCAAATGCATCTTTTGTCTACCGTGGCTTACCTCTACGTTAAGTACGCCACTTCATTTGGATATTTCCGTTGTTGACGTACAAGTCCCTATTCTGAAACCGCCTTTAAAGTCAAAAAGGTAACGTATACATAAATATAGTGCGATAAAATGTATGCTTACATTTATATAAGTATTCTTGGTACGCAGAGTATAAATATTCTAATGTATAAAAAGTTATTAATAAAATACTGGATAGAAAAAATAATTAAAAATTTATAGAAAAAAAAAACTAATAGAATCATATAAAAATTTATAGAAAAAAAAACTAATAGAATCTTATAAAAATTTATAGAAAAAAAGTAATAGAATCATATAAAAATTGATAGAAAAAAAACTAATAGAATCATATAAAAATTGATAGAAAAAAAAATTATTATAAAAATTTATAGGAAAAAAAATTATTATAAAAATTTATAGAAAAAAAAATTATTATAAAAATTGATAGAAAAAAAAATTATTATAAAAATTGATAGAAAAAAAATTATTATAAAAATTGATAGTAAAAATAAATATAAAACAAAAATTGATTAAAAAAAAAACATACAAAATTGGTTTTTATTTTACAATCTTGTTGAAAGGTTCTAAGAGTCCTTTGTAAATTCTAAATCAAAGGGAAGTTGCACGATTTCGGATCAATCATTCTTTGGCATTTATTTTTTGAAGATTATCTCTTTCAAATATTGGGCGTGGCTACGTCCCAGATGGTCCTTCCTTTGAGTCCAATTTTCGATCACTCGTTCGAGCCTTTCGACTGGTAACTGACGAATGACGCGTGATGTTTAGCTCCATGTCATTCCATACGTCAGTCCGAGTTGCTGTGAACGGCGTCGAATCGACTCTGCACGGTCTTCGTATACACTCTTAGCTACAGCCGCTACATTTTCTACACCGCGTGCTTGACGTGATCTATTTGATTGAATATTATCCAATAATGAATACTGGGTCTCAAGATGGGTGATGGTGTTACAAATAGAACAACTCAGTAGGCTGATTATGATGACCATAAGTTGAGCGAAGCGCGCGAAACATTCTATACAGAACTGGAATTTTCGTAATAAAGTTGAACGATTTGTAAATGAAATGCCAAACAATACTGAATTTTTGAATTTTGAAATAACAAGCTGACTCACGCGTGTGCTGTCTAAAAAAGGATATTGAAAAAGATACCTTAATGACATATGCATTTGTATCTCGTCGAAGAAGAAGACCATAACTTCTGCTCCGTTCTTGTTTACCAATACAGGGTTGCATTTTATTTTCTACGGAGAAGGTTTGATAAATTATAATAACATGTCTTTTATGTAATTATATCTAATTGTTTTATAATTGCATGTGTTTATTTAAGTATTAAATATTTACTAATTTTTTCAAACCATGATTGCATATTTTAATTCATAACATTACCATTTAAACCGATACCGAAGCCTATCACTATTTTCAAAATAAAAGTTTCAGATAACTGTATAAACTTTATTTTATCATTAAATCTACTTTTACTAGTTATTTTTCTTCTTTGAATAAATAAATTAATTTACAATAATTTTTTAGGAGAAATATATTTAATTTTGAAATAACTCGTAAACTCTGTTAGCAAGTTTTCGAACCCTGATTTAACTTTAGGTTATTGATCAGCCGGCAGCGGTATTGTTATAAACTGTCGAGTTTTTTGCATTGTTTATTGTTGTCATAAACTTTTGTGAATTGATATATTAACAATTTGTGAAAATGGAGCTCGGAATCAGTATTATCTTCGTTATTTTATTATATGCGTCACCAATCGCGGCGGTAAAAGAGTCTAGTGAATTTCACGAGGAGCTATACGTACGCCCTATAGCAAATGGGCTAGTCAATACATTTTTTCAGTTCACCACTCGTTGGCATTATGGCGATAGAGATAATTGTATATATAAATACAATTTATTAAGTGCACAAAATGTATATTATTTTTTCAATATTTTCAGTACACAACACACAGCTTATACCTCGTCCCATTGCCGAAACATTACTGCTGTACGACGTTAAAGAATTACATATCGGATTAACTCAGGGACTTTGGCGATATGAAACTTACGGCTATCCAGTAATGGACAGTGCGCCAGGCGCCGAAGTGAGGGCATGGTTTGCCGGAGAAAATTTAACTTCTGCTGAGGTTGATGATCAGTGGGTAAAGTTAGCTGGTACATTTTCCGGAATTCTGTGTGCCTCCTTGAATTTTATTGACAAAACAAATAGTGTCGAACCGAAATATAGTTTTCGGCCACAGTTTGTCACTGGTACCAAGGCGAAAATTCCACAATATGTACGGTATGCGAGCTTGCCACGAGAAATCGTCTGCACGGAGAATTTAACACCATGGAAAAAGTTATTGCCCTGCAATAGTAAACAAGGATTCGCTTCCTTACTCAACTCCGGCTACGTGCATAATACTAATTATCACTCTCTGGGCATGAAAATGCGTACGATATGTGAATCTTACAACAAAAACTGTATTTTGGAATTCACCGAAACTGCAAATATGGTATATGACCCAAAGATGTTGGGTACAAATGGAGATTTTTCGCTGCGTCGTCTCTTTGGCCAGGGACTAAATGGCCATTGTACATTGGCGAAAAGTAGTAAAATTTACGTTAATTTGGATGATCAACCATATGATTTAACACCAACACCCATGTATAATGTTACTTCGATGCGTGGTGGCAGCACAACCACGTTAGGTGTATATGATATCCAACGATTAGATGAAGACAAATTCTTCAATATCGCTTGGATAAATAAGAAAACGAAAGCAAATGTACAAATGACACCAACACCACCGTTATACGCACATCGTTACATATTGGGACATGGTCAGGAGCGAGGTCAAATTCTTACACAAATTACAAATAAACATTATGCTGCCTTACCTATTGTGTTACAAGAAAATATACCATGGTTCGTACCATCCTACATGCATACACTTAAGTTAATTGTACAACCGGAAAATGGAGCGGAATACACTATAAAACCACGATTCATGCACTACATACCAGGCGTACAAAGATTGCGACCCTATCATTTAGAATTACTCTTCGAAATACCCGCATTGAGTACAGTGCAAATATCATTCGATTTTGATTATATTTTCTTAAAATGGCTCGAATACCCACCTGATGCAAATCATGGCCATTACTTGGGATCTGCGATCATCACAACACAGTTGCCAATGGGACGCAATTACACGGCCATTCCAGTGGATAAACATCTTTTCGCTGATTCATTCAATGCGTCACGTTCTTCATATTTTCTAGAAATTCGTACAGAATCACTTATATTGTCATTGCCAACTCCTGACTTTAGCATGCCGTATAATGTCATTTGTCTCGCTTGTACAGTCGTAGCTTTGGCTTTTGGACCCATACACAGCGTAGCTACCAAACGGATAGTTGTCGAACAAAAAGATGCACAACCGCAATCACTAAAAGGTAAAGTAATGCAGAAATTGTTTCGAAGGAAACAAAATAAAACCGATATCAACACTAACAAAGCAGAAGCTCACACTGAAGCGGTATTTGGACATTCTCTTGCTGACATCAAACAAAAAGAATTTTAGAAAATTTAAACAATACTTTGATTTATACATTTTTTAATAATAAAATGATAACTTATACAAATAAACGCTTTTACCTGTTTAGACTTTTTGTTAGTTTAGCAAATTTTTCATAATTCATTTTAATATTCATCTTTCCTCGCCCTCAAGAAATGAAAATACTTTACTTATACTGTTTTGTATAAATGTGACGAATACACATAGACATATTTATTAGGATAGTAGCGATATCATATGTGGATAAAAAATTATTTCGCCTGTCGGCTTGTCAATCAAACGTAAACTACTGTATTATATTATTGATTAAGTCTAAAGTTACATATTTGAATTCAACGCAATAATTTTATGTTGCCGCAATTTGCATTCCGTTCAATATATTTTTCGTAATCAATATTATATAAAAGCGGAATGCTTACATTGTATTGATTAGGATACCATAGTATTAAATATTACATGTGTATATTGTTTATTTTGCCTACGCTTTTTGTAACATCTTTATACTTATTTTTTATTTCAACAATTTTAAGTAAATTTTGTATAGTTTCCGTGAAATTTTTTCCATAACGAAGACATTAAACAAAAGCTAGCATCTTTGTATGTTTAAAAAATTTTTTTAAATAATAAAAATCAATTACATCTTCGTCGGCACGTCATTTTCATTTACTTGAAAAATTTTTAGTCCAGACATAAAAGTTCCCAGTGTCTAAGTCAATGAATCTACATATTTTCTTAGACAAGAAATAAGTTGATTCATCTCATACAATCGAGTTTGGTGCGTCGCAATACTTTTAACGAATTAGTGTTAATATTTGTTCATCAGAGCCAATTTACCTATTGAAACAATTTGTTTAGAATTCTAATGATTTGGTTCATTTGGAATTCGTGTTAATGTCTACGAAGATTACGTTAAGTTTTGCCGGTTGATTTTTTGTAAATTTGCCCATTCATTACGGAACGGAATTAATACCAATATTTTTTCTTATTTATCTAGGGATTTATGATATATATAACACATGTATATATATCAATTCAATTTCGCAAATAGTATTAACCAGTTGCCGCGTGTCTGGTACAAGCTTTTTGTAGTGTAAACACTTATTGTGGAGGTTGATTACCATAATATGAATATGCATTTGTTGGCGGTCCTTGTGGGGCGCCTGGTGGCGGCATTTGACCACCAGTAGGTCTATAACCTTGATATCCTTGTGAAGGTGGATATTGCCCTTGGGGGATGCCACCGTAGCCGCCCTGCGGTTGATGATAGCCATGTCCTGGATAACCACCACTGGGTGGTGGTGGACCATAGGACTGTGGTGGTGGCGCACCATACGGTTGGCCTGCCGGTGGTGGTTGGTACTGTTGATTGGGCATCTGGGGCGTACCATTTGGTGGTGCCGTTGTGTTTGGTGGCACCTGCGGCGGTCCATTCGGTCCTGGCGGCTGTTGTTGTTGCTGCTGTTGTGTTGGCGCTCCGTAAGGTGAGGGACCACCAGCGGGCGCACCTGCTGATGAATATACAGGCTGTTGTTGTGGAGTAGATCCATGTGGCTGTGGCGGTCCACTGGAAGCTGGCGGTTGTTGGCTCCCATATTGTTGTTGTTGTTGCTGTTGCTGCTGCTGTTGTTGCTGCTGAGGTGATTGCGTCTGCTGATTCGGTGGACCGCTATTAACACCAATATTGCCAGAAGAAGTAGATGGAGAAGTGGATTGCACACTTGCTGGCGGAGCATTTGGTCCATTCGGGTTAGCCGAGTTTGGGGTTTGTTGATTTGATGGTGGTGGCGGTGTTTGGCCTGGACTTGGCGAGGAACTATAGCCACCGCTAGTACCCTGTGATGTTTGTTGCTGTTGCGGCGTCTGACCCGGATAGCCACCAGGCGCTCCACTTTGCTGGTATGGTGATTGTGGAGGGTAGGGCGATTGTGTTGGATTTTGAGGAGGCGGACCGTAACCGCCAGGCAATGCATTCGACGCTTGACCATAACCACTTGGTGGTGGGCCACCGTAACCGCCGTATGCCATCGGTGGTGGGGCGTTGTTACCACCTTGCGGTGGTCCATATTGATTTGGCGGTGGTGGCGGTCCTTGTCCAGCTGTGGGCGGACCATACATTTGTGTAGGAGGCGGTTGCTGACCCGGTGGAACTTGCTGATTTGGAGGAGGTGGGGGATAAGCGCCCGGAGGTCCTTGCTGACCACTGGCATTAGCATAGCCATGCTGCCCTGGTGGGCCGCCACCAGTTGATGATGTCGGAGGCATACCTGCATGGTGATAGCCTCCCTGTGTATTTGGAGGAGGTGGTCCATAGCCTTGAGTGGGCGGACCATATGGATAACCGGCTTGAGGTTGGTACGATGGTTGGCTTTGTGGTGGATAGCCAGGGTAATGACTGTGTTGTTGTTGATAATTGCCACGATATTGGGGTTGAGGAGGCGGACCTTGTTGGGAATTGGGCGCCTGTTGTTGTGGCCCTTGGCCCGGCTGTTGTCCTGATTGAACACTTGGGCGCTGTTGATTCGATCCAGCATTTGACACAGTTGGTGGTTGTTGATTGGCTGATTGAGGTGTAGTGCCAACACGATAAGCACCGCCTTGCTGTTGGGGTTGCTGTTGGCCACTTTGTTGGGAATTAATAGCTTGTTGGGGAGGACCTTGTTGAGGTTGAGAGTTTGGTGTCATTCCTGGATGCGACTGTGGTGGTTGACCTCCATACGACATTTGAGCCCCCGATGGAGGTTGCACATTTCCATCTGCATGTGACATTGGTGGCATACCAGCTATTTGTGGTTGGTTTGCACCAGTCGGTGGTCCTCCCTGTTGTGGAGGCTGTGGAGCCCCCATCATACCATGTGGACCTTGTTGTTGGGCTGCCTGTTGTTGAAGAACATGTGGATGCTAAACGAATTGATAGGCACAGAAATGCATATACGTAGATATTTAAAAGCTGACCACAAACCTTATTGCTTATTGACTATTAAAACTCACCGGCAATATCTGAGCAATGTTCATTGTTGGATCAGCTAGTTGTGCTAAATAAACGAGATTTCTGTGTAGTGCCATATGATATGTCATGCACTCCTGGGCTTTGCCCATGGTTTGAAAGTCTTGAATTGTTTGAATAAGACCACAATTATCGTCAAGTATTTTTTGTATTTGTGCTGGACTCGGTGATGGTGGCACACCACCGCGTTGAGACGATGGCGGAGGTGCAACACTGCCCATCATACCTCCACTTCCAACTGAAGATGGAGGACCGACCGGTCCGCCGCCACTACCAACCATGGAAGGACCTCGTTGGATTGGACCGCCGGAGCCCATTGGCACTCCTGTGGGAACACCCATCCCCACTCCACCCACGCCGGCGCCAACACCCGGTGGTTGCTGCTGCTGTTGTTGTTGCATCGACGTCGGCGTTGGTGGCTGAGGCGGTTGCAGTACAGCACCTGGCGGCGCAGACTGCTGCGGTTGTTGCGGCGAATAAACTGCAGACATTTTACTGGCTGCAGCCTTCTTCTTCCGCTTTGGAGTTTTCTCCTGTTTTTCCACAATTTTAGCGGTTATTATTTAACGGGGGGAAGAAAAAATTAAATGGGCTGCCTTACAAAGTGGCCTTAAAACTTATACAATTTTTTTTCTCTGTCTAAATGTCGGGCTTTGTATTTTATCACTTAACACTTTTTATATTAGTTCATATATGCCAAGGGCTCAATATATCATGTAGCGGAGAAAATATAAAAAAAATTTACATAACTTTAGCAAAACTTAATTTACAATTAAAAAATTAAATTCCACATTTTTCGCGAACAAATGACGCTAGGGATAACTACAAACTCGGTTGACGTTGACTGCGCTGTTAATTCGCCGATATGCTTAGAGATGTATTTTATGGTCCTTTTTATAAAATTTTGAACACATAAATTTTTTATGACAAAATTATAATGTCTTGGCTTTATATAAATTAAAATAAATAAATTTTGTTGTACATTATAGTTTGCGTGTGAATATATTTGATGTCTTAATTTAAAAATCAAAAGCAAAGACAATGAAATCAAATAAAAACAATATTTGATTTCTTTAAAGATACGCCAAAAAGCAACAATTCAAGAAGCGAGGCCAACTTCACAATTATGCTTTTTTCGCCGCAAAATTTTGCTAATAATGGTTGCTGGATGTAAATATTGCAGATTTTCCTTACTTCTTTTATTTATGATATGTTCATTCAATTGAAGTGAATTTCTTGATTTCTTCCAAGTCTTTTATTTTATGAAAAAATTTTCTGAGAAATATTAGTAACACGTAATATAAGTTCGCAATGCAAGAAAAATTAATTTTGCATTAAATTGATATGGCAACAATTGCGAATGAAAAATTCGCAGATATTTATTCAAGAGTATTTGTGAAGAAGATATTCAAGTTGAAGCGGTAGATGAGAAATTGAATCGGGTTTGGTTAAAATTTATGTGCAAAGGATTAATTTTTCTAAATGTTAGCAAACACTTAACAAAATCTAAGTGAACAGGCGGAAAGTTGGTGTTGTAATTATATATAGGTAAAAACACTGCGATAAAAACGAAAAAACGGAGTGGATAACAAAGTATAATAAAAAAATAGAAACTAGCACAAGACGGAGAGGAAATAGATAATATGTAAGAGCGAAAATATGTGCCGAATTGTTGTTAATTGTGAGCAAATAGACGGAAAATGTGCGAATAACTTAGAGTTGCCAAATATTTAAAAACTTTTAAGAATTCAAGTGAAGTTGTAGAAAATTTATAAAATAAACTGTTTGGAAACAACTTATTAGGTAAATTGTATTAGGGTACATACAAGTCCAATAGCAAAAACATACATTAAATGAAGACCAGCCATAAATTGGCTGGTATGTTTCCGTTGATGATGAACAGTAATTTTTTGGCCAAAGGCCAAGGGCGCATTTTCTTTCAATACTTTTTTTTTACTGTCATTTACATAATTATGACGTTCGTTAAAGATATTAAGAATTAGCAAAATTTATTTACTTCTGGCGGATATTCAATATACTAGCAGTTTTCATAATCATATTTTTATAAATGTAAATTTTTATAATTTCACATTGGGTTTAAAAATTAATTTGTGTTTGTACCATAGATGTTGGTTGTCCATGGTTCGGAAGATTTTCGCGTTTATATACCTACATTTATGGAAATGTGCAAAAGAGAATTGGAAAAAACAAAGCGAAAATTTGTAGAAATCGTATAAACATCGCTGATGTGTAAATAAAATAATATTTTGTGATTTAATTTGAAGTATTAGACTACTTATCTCACGAATCGAAGTTGGAAATTGTTTTATTTTCACAAAACTTAAACTACTGGATGATAATATAATTACTATCTGTGTATTCGTTTATTGATTTTGTTGTTGCCCGTCTCGTTGCCGCGCTTTTCCCCAATTTTATATTGAAAATACAAGCTCTTAAATTACTCATAAAAACAATAATTTTAAATAAATTTAATGAAAAGAATGTTGACAACTTAGTTCCGCTCTGATATTTGCAGTTGCTTCTTAACTTCCTGAAATTGTGTAAAAATTGGTAAGACGCAATCGACGTCGCTTACCAATGTTTTCTTTCGTACAAATGAACTTCAGCGCTTTATCAGTACTACTGTCAAGAGTGTGGACATGCATCTGTTTTATGTTCAACAGACAAGTTCGCTCGGTAAGTGCTAAAAACCTTCATATTTTTAGGTGATACTAATTCGAATTATGTTAATTATTTTTCAATAGTTGAAACTTCCCTTGTAGTTGTATTTTTAAATGCCAAATTAATTTTTTTAAATTTAAAAATTCTTTCAGATTGTTCAATATCAACCAGTCAAATATGAACTCTTCCCATTATCACCGGTGTCAAGACATCGCCTTAGTATAGTGCAACGGAAAACACTTGTGTTAGATCTGGATGAAACGCTCATACATTCACACCACAGCGCAATGTCACGAAATACCGTGAAACCTGGCACACCTCATGACTTCACTGTAAAAGTAATTATTGACCATCATCCAGTTCGATTTTTTGTTCATAAACGACCTCATGTAGACTATTTTTTGGATGTGGTAAGAAGGAATTGATTTAAAACTTGCACATTTTTTACATTTGATACATTTTATTACGATTTTAGGTTTCACAATGGTATGACCTAGTTATATTTACAGCCAGTATGGAGATTTATGGCGCTGCAGTTGCTGATAAACTGGACAACGGACGTAATATTTTGCGTCGGCGTTATTATCGTCAGCATTGCACACCTGATTTCAGTTCTTACACCAAAGATTTATCTGCTATCTGCAGTGACTTGAATAGAGTAATTAAACGAAATTTAATACTTTTCACATATAAATAAATTAAATCTCAAATAGATATTCATAATTGACAATTCACCTGGCGCATATCGTTGCTTTCCTAATAACGCGATACCCATAAGAAGTTGGTTCTCAGATCCAATGGATGTTGCGCTGCTATCACTTCTTCCAATGCTGGACGCCTTGCGGTTTACAAAAGACGTGCGTTCAGTTTTGTCAAGAAATTTACATTTGCATCGTTTATGGTAGCAGGTGTGTGCATAACATAAGTTTAATTTCGCAATTTGACAAATATAACAGTAAATCTAAAGAATTTAACTAAGTATAAAATCAACTACTAATTAATTTGTTTATTTTCAGTTTTACAGATTAAAAATTTGGTGCTGTGACGCTTAAACGAGTTTTTAGTTTGTTTTATATATTAAGCATTATTAATGAGAAAAGAATCCAATTCAATTCACTCACACTAGTTTTGACACACATACACAAACATACATAAAGATCTAAAACATATTCTCAATCTTTTCCTCTCCTTGATATCTTCCACCCCAGCCTGACTTTCCATATTCGCATTTTAAGCGAAATCAGGAAAACTGTTTACCATTTGATAAATTCGATGGATATATATTTAATAAAAAAAATACATATATAATTTGCTAGAGGATTATTTAATTTTATGTGTACTGTAATAAACATGTGTTTTGACTAAAAAAAATATTATTTATTGGTAACAAAAAACAAATGAAATAGTTTAAGTACTAACCAAGTGTTATTTCATAGATGATATATGGAAAAACGTATTGAAATGAATTGTTTGCTTTGTGTATTATAGATGAGCATTGAAAAATTATATAAAATGTATAATTTGTAGCATTTAAAGACAGCGCAACCGAATCTATTTTAATTACTGAATATGTTATTCAATTAAGATAAATGAAGTATCAAAAAGATGTAAGAACAATACCGACGGCCATGTACAAGTACAATAAGTGCTTACATATAACACACAGCATAATGAGAAAAGGTTTGAATGATTTCTCTTCAAAGATTATTATTTTTCTCTTGATATTATGTTTTCATTTAATAAAACAAAAATAAACATCAACAATGTCTGAAAATTAAAGAAATAAGAACAAACTGACTCAGTTATCATTTAGAATTAACTCAATGTCAAAAAAAGTAAAGAGTAGCTTGTAAGTTTGTAGTAAGTTTGAAGTATATATAGAACAGAATAATGAAGCGATCATCTATCAAGGATAGTCTAACAGCTATGGAATGATTTATTTATTTAAGCGAAGGCGTATTCTATCATATTTTAAATTGTATGTAAATTAAAAGTTTTTTGCAATTTTTTCTTTTGTGAAATGGCGAAAATCTCGATATTGTTGATTATTAATTTCTTAATTTTTTATGCGAGAAAGTTAACTTGCCACGGTAAAAAACACATAAACTTGTACCGACTAAACTTCGTCTCTTTGATCGATTTTTCATATTTATATTTATATTTAAATCTTTATAAACATAGGTTGAGGCTAATACATATGTATATGATTATATGTAATTGTAGTTATTCAACCATAAAACCTATGTATTTTCATCAAGAGAAAAAAGTATATATTTTTTTTATTATTTTTTGTATTATTTGTTTGAATTTAAAATAAACAATTGGAGAGAGGATGTGCTAACTCGTAAAAAGCATTGGTTACAGTTTTTATTTTTTACAAAAATCATCTGATTGAAAATCAATTGTCTCCACGTAGACAATTTATGGATTGTACCATGCTCAAATCTTAATATTGGTTTATTAAAGTCACTCAAATGAACAAAAATAAAATGAAATTTTCACAAAATTTAAAATAAAATGAAGATAAACAAATTGCTTGTATTTTTTACTCCCAAAGGAAATTAGAATTAATTTTTAATAAAATATAACACCATTAATATCCTTGATTAGAATAGAATAGAATTCTATGCTATGTTCTTGATTAATTCAGACACTAGATAAAACGAGAAGGAAAGTTAACTTCGGTTGCACCGGAAGCTATAATATTCTTCAAGGAAATTGCACCGATGCTGGGACTATAATCTATGCCAAATTTCGTGTAAACATCTTTTCAAATAAAAAATTTTCCATACAAGGACATGTATTTGATCGTTCAGTTTGTACGTCAGCTATATGGTATCGTGGTCTAGATATTCACAAATTTAACAAATTTAACAATAGAGTTACTTTTAATAATTGTTTAATGTATTCGTTAACCGGTTTAGTTAGTAGTCTCAAAAATACAAAAATAAACGTTTCATTTCTGTTTTGTCACTTCATTCGTAATGAGAAAAGGAAATTCAAAATATGGCAACTCCACTACATTTTGTTTTTTCTATTTCTTAACAATTTCAGAAGATTTTTGCTGTGGCCGCATGTATATTTATTATAGCTCAGCATTTGCATGTTATAAATAAGAGATTTTACGGAAAGGAGTGGTAATTATTGAATTTATATATACGCGACTTTTATTTTATTGCGAATTCGTTATAAAATTCTTTGCTAGATCTTCGCAGTTGAATAGTGTCGGTCAACGGGGTATCAGTGGGAGGGTGGATTAGTGATTGTTTATATAAATCGTACATGGTTTTAATGAACTATTAAGGAACAGTTATTGGTGCGGTATGATGAATAAATTAAAAAATCAAAACTTCAGGGAGTAGCATTAAGAATATGTTTACTGGACATCGCTGAAAGGACCAAATTATTCTATTACGGTAAGCATCTCAATATTTAGAACAGCACAGGCAAAGTATGAATATATTATAATTACATTTATGTATGTATGTGTGCGGGAATCGCTTCCTACGACATTACTAAATATGTATCTTTTTAAAAGGTTAGTATTCATTTAGATCATTAAAAATGAATTCAGCGCCATCAACGTCAGAAATGACGCCACAACGAAAGCGTGTTGGTAGGCCTCCTAAAGCAACGCAGCTGAAGCAATCGGCTGACGCATCGCTACCATCACAAGAAGAGAGTACACAAACGCCTAACCAGTCCAACGATACAGAAAAGTTTGCGAATCGTAGTATAAATGATAGTATTATGGAAGTTGAGGGCGGTATCGTGGCTATATCTCCACCACCGGCCAATGCACCAGCAGATAAGGTTAATCCTCGTATGACTGCAACACCATCAAGTAGCAACGAGTGCAGGCGAAGTTCACGTAAAAAGATCATAAAATTTGACGTAAGAGATTTATTAAACAAACATCGAAAACCACATAAAATCCAAATAGAAGCTCGCATAGATTCAAACGCTCCGCAATCACAAAAACCTACAGCATCGCCATCATTTAACACCGGTAGCAATACAAGCAGCTTAGCGCCAGCTTCAAGCTCTGACTTAAACAGTAAACAAAAAGCATTTATGGAGAAATCCGCAATATTTCGTCGTATATCAATATCAGAACAACATAATAAAATAAATGCGCCAATACTTCCACCACCCTTATCGTCCATACCCAAAATCGGTGTTTTAGGTAAGAACACAATCAATTTGAAGAGTAATGTGGATGCTATGCCTACAATAGACCCAGCGAAAATAGCACAAGCCAGACGGTTAAGTCGAACTCAGGAAATATTTAACGCCAGCCTGATAAAATCAAAGCAGAATTCCAGCTTAATAATAGCACAAATTGAAAGTAATACATCTAGTACCAGCAGTGGGTTCATGCCTCCAGCAGTTCTGTCATCACAACAGCAGAAAAAGTCAACAAGTGAGTAAAATACAAATAAACTATATTTAAAAAAATCGATAAATGTAAAAAATCAATATACTTATGTATGTGGTTACATATATGTATATGTAGGTACATATGTGAGTATATGTATAGATATATATAGTAGGTGTAATATACATATTCGAATGTTTACCTCTGTGATGGCACAAAATCCTCGAAAATATTCAGATTAAGAAACTTGAAGTTTAAATATGCGCATAAAATACTAATCGTTACCGTTTTTTTTATCCATATTTACATATATTCAACTCTTCTATCTACTACTTGTTATGTAAAGTGTATGCAAGGTTATATTCATACATAAAATAGAGATAAGTATACATGTTGAAGTAAATGATGCTTATCAATTATAAATTTAGCTAATACTCAAAATTGGAGATATTTTTCGTAACGGACAGAAAAGGGTCTATTACAAAACTGAAATTATCTTAAAAAATATTTTTATTGTTGTCTCAGAGGTAGGAAAAATTCCTCCAATAATTTTGGAAAAATTATTATTAAAAGAGTATATACATATGTATTTAAATAAAACTAGGTTTTCTTTTTTTAAAACACGTTTCGAAATTAAAAAGTCATCAGTTGTCTAAATATATTGGAAAAACAAATAAAACTCGAAACCCCTTAATTCTTTATTTTACAGTATATCGAGATAATTTGAATATATATATTTTTTTTTATAAATATTTTTTATATAACCTGTAATGATTTCTATTCAACAGATGTATACAACAAACGTAAAAGTGTTTCAAATTCATTTATTTCGCCTACTACGGTAGCTGATCCAAAGCCTTCGCTTACAGAATCTGGCACACAAAAGCGCCGAGGTCGTCCACCGAAAAATAAAAATCCTGTAGCTCAAAACCCTTTACCAAAATCAAATCTAAAGTCGGAGTTTCATATTACGGCTGAAGATAAAGAAGCAGACGAACATCAGCAATATTCTGTCGAAAATAAAGAAAAGCAAAATATAGCTAGTAAAGAAACTTCTTCAAGTGCTACAAATTGGACGGAGTACAAAGCAAATTTAAAATGTGCTGAAAATTTTGACAACCCCGTTGAACAAAATCCTATATCAAACGAAAGGAGCTCGATACAGCATGAAGATGTCATTTTAGAAATATCATCTACTTCTTCCATATCTGATCACGAATATCAGGCTAAAACAGTACATCCTCCAAAGGATATACATGAGTCACAACAAAGAAACTTCGCCTCCGTGTGCATTTGGCAAGATAGTCAAAGTATTTGTGAAACTACATCCGCACCAGAATTCATTGTGGCCGCAGTTGAAGAGATAACATCGGAAAGTTCACCAGCTGATAAATCTATTTCCTTGGAAGCTGAAAGTGAAACATGTTCACAAAAAACGGTTGATATGTTAACGGAATGTGATCAAAGTATTGCAATTGATTTGGATTCGAATAAAGAAATTGAAGCAGAGTCGGATTCTCTTTCGGAAATTACATTTGGCATGTCCGGCGCAAGCCGCAAATCGAGCGGTTCCGAATCAGAGGGCAGCTCAGATCGTAGTAATAAAAGCTATAAAAAAGGCGATAAGTTGCGTGTATCTTTGAAACGCTTAACATTGCCACCGAGTACAATCACATCGACTATTTCGTTATCATCGGCTTCTAGCTGCTGTAGTGACGTCATCGCTGGTAGCGACAACAACAGCAATACAAATAACAGCAGTGGCGTAAGTAGCGGTACCGCTAACACTACAGGGCTAAGTACCGCAACAGCAAGTAAAAACTTACCGACAAGACGATCTCATCGTTTCCCTAAAAAGAGTTTTGACAGCAAATTTATAGTGGAAGAACGCAATTGTAAAGCAGAAGTATCATTGAATGAGAATTTAGATACTGAAGTTCTACTAAAGATGACAACAGATGTAGAGGAGAAAACTAGTAAACTGCCAATTGAGAGAGTTACTTCAATGGCCGTTAAAACGGATAATGACTTCGAAGAATCGATTGAAGAAATGAAAGACTTTGCAGTTACAACAATTGAAAACGTTAGTGTTGATTTGGTTACGCCGCAGCAAGTGGAAACACCACCCGATACAATTGCTGTGGAGGAGCTCTCTACCGAACATATAATTGATAATGAGCGTAGAGAGCATGATAAAAAGGTCAGTGAAGAGTCGCCTTCTTTATCGTGTGGCACAAAAAAAGACCCAATCACTTTGCCACTTAAAAAACAGGTGAGCAAGTTTAAAATGTACGAAGCGGCAGTTCACAATGTGGCGGCAAATGTCGCGACTAGTACGTTGTTGGATATATTAAATACCGTTAAACAGAATGATTTAACAATGGGAACAAAAGCATTACAGCATTTGCCGACAGTTGAAGATGATACATGCCCTGTGATAGCGCCTAAAGTAGAGGAGGAAAACATAGCAATTACTGCAGCCGAGAGAGAACTTGAAGCTGGCATGTCAAATAATAGTGTCACGACAATTGTTTTGGAAGAATCACAAGCAACCGACCAAGATATTTCTAAAGAGACTAGCAAGCAGCCATCGAAATGTGTTCAAATAGTTAAATGTGTGGATGAAGTAGAATCTATAGATAAGCTCACTTGGCGAAACAATACGCACGATGAGTCCAACCCATGCATGGACATTTCAGAAACAGTCACGGTTTGCGACTTTGCACCACTGCCAGAAGAAGAGATCGTAATTCAAACTACTTACGCTGAACAACTTGCTGAAGGGAATCAAACTTCCACTAATGAAGCCAGTAGCACGGCAAAGACCTTAGCAGAAGAAGAAATAACTGCCAATGTTGTTAATGAGAGTTCAATGAACATTTCCAATGTTTTGGATAAGTCAGCGAAATCGGAAAAATGGAATATTATCACTAAGCACACGGCAGATAATCTGTTGGATGAAAGTAGTTCGGAGGATATAAATTCGACAACGGACTCACAATCTTCACGTGACGAAACGAATGGGAGCTGTGCTACGAAGACACCATCGCCGACACTTTCGGAAAATTCCAATAGAAAGCCGACAAAGAAACCAACACGCCGTAATGAGAGACGTTCAAAACGTGGAGATAAGTCTGGCCATAAAACTTTAGAAGAGACATTCGCAGAAATAGCGGCTGCAAGTTCAAAGGCAGTTTTGAAATTGAAGGCGCAGGAAGTTGACGTAGATATTGTAGATACAGCAAAAGTATATAATGAAGAGGAGATTTCTAAATTTGTTGATTCAATTGAAAATACAGCTGATGCAAAAGAAGTTTCTACTGCTAGCGTTGAGCTAAGTCATACGCCTATTAATTTAACTGAGCCAAAAAATTTCGACGAAGATGAAGTGCCGAATGTACAAAATACTATTGAAGTGACGACAGAGGAAACAACAACAGAAATATGTACGAAGGTTATGTCGTCTGAAGAGGAACGCGCCGTGCCAAAAGTAGTAATATTACCAGAAGATATGGATAGTAATTCAAATCATTCGTCGCCTTCACGACGCGGGCGCAAGACGAGGAACAAAAAAGAAAATAATAAGCCATCAACGAGCACTTCTTCTATTACAGCAGAGTCATTGAGTGGAAATAAACCGAAAGCCGCCGAAATGTATCCGGTCGATGAGCCTATTACTGCCATTACAAATACGTTCGCCGAGGTTAATTTAGAAATAACACAACAAAGTTTGTACACATCCATAATTGAAATGGACGAAAATGTTACCAATAATGGTGACCAGATTATCAGTGACACATTGGAGGAAAGGAATGCCAAAGAGTCAAACATAGAAACATTTTTGGAACCAGAAAAATGTGATTATTCAATGACTACGGTGGAACTTTCATCTGAGGTTGACCAAGTCATGAACACCACAGGCGTCGAAATATCAACAAATATTTCCGAGAACATAGCACCTGATTTTAGTGACCACAGTGTAGAAGAAAATAATGACAAAAATGAACCATTTACAACAAAAACGCGAAAACACAAACAAGCTACGACTTCGGCTATTCAACAAGCCGAGCGCGTTGAACTTAAAGTAGAGAGTGTTGAGACGCAAAGAGAGTGTGGTCAAAGCAACGTCACTGCACCCGAAGAGCGGATTGAACAACGAGAAGAAAAGCTTGTAGAACCGTCTAAAGAGTTGCTACAAAATAAATTGGAAAAGTTAGAACAAAGTGGGTCGCCACCACCGTTAAAGGCGAACTCTGTCATTGAATCGGTTATAAGTAGCGGCATATTGGCACAGAATGTAGACTGTCAGCTCGCAGAACAGCGTGAACAGTCAGGTACACCAGTCGATAAGCCTAAAAAAATTCGAAAACGTAGAAGTAATAAACAGTCCGATGAGAGGTCTAACGAGTTGGAGACTAAAGATCAAGATAAATCAGAAGATCAGGAACATCTTGGGACTAAAGAAAAAAGTGGCGATGCAGAAGATAACGATGGAAAAACACGAAAGCCACGAAAGGGAAAGTCAGCAAACGATGCGACCAATGATCCTCATAGTGATACGACGGTTACAGTGCCAAACACAGCTGAATTAATGGAAAAAGAATTGGCCAAAGCGCCGCCTAAGAAACGTCTGCTCAAAATGCAAATGGAGTTGGAGGAAAAGAGTTGTGCCTACAATGCAGAAATGCCAAGCACAAGTCAGGCTAGCGCTGAACAAAAAACGACTTCAGCCAAAAAGTCAGCAAGCAATTCCAGTAAAACCAAAGAATCTACACAGAAAAAATCGAAGAAAGATGCGCAATCGTCTGATCAAATGAAAAAACGAGAAAGTCTCGAAAGTCAAATCGAATCTTCCCTTGACGAGGAAAGTCGTTCAGCGACATCTACACCTGTGGCTAAACGTTTCAAAAAGCAAATGGCTTTAGAGGATAAAACAAGCGGTAAAAGGAAGTCCAAGATGGAGCAAACTATTAGTAGCAGTGAGAAAAGTGAAATTAAGGACAGGGAAAGGAAAGGATCTGTATCAAAGAAATCGGAAAAGAAACAATTTTTGGCCACCGAAGACACTACAAGTAATGAATTAGCTAAGAAAATGGAAGAAAGAACTGCGAAGAAAAAACGGCAGAAGAAATTGAAAGAAGATTTTGAGGCAGCACTAAAGGATGCGCTCACCAAAACAACAGTTCCAGCTGAACCCAATAAAGAAAGCGCCAACCCTACAGAAAACATTGTTGCAGTGCTGGAAGAAGGAAAAATACCAGAGATAATTGCCGCTACAACCGTTTGTGCCACCGTTTTTGAAGACAAGCAGAATACTGTGGAGGAAGATCCAATCATTAAGGCTACTGAAACTACGGTAAACAATGAGCTTGAGGAAGAACCAGATCCCTTGAAGGACATTGAGAAATTCATCGAAGATGGCGTCAACTTGCTCAAACGTGGCTATAAGATTGATGACGACAGTGTAGATGAAGTTATTTGTCCGAAAACACATCTACAAAAAGAAGAATATAAATCGGATGTGCCGGAAAATGAAGAAAATCCGTCTACTGTGGTTGTGGAAGGCATGACTACACCTAATGAAAGCATATCAGGCGATATTACACCAGTTGACAAAACATTCGAAGAAGTTGCTAACACGCTCACTCAGAATATTTATTACGAAACACCGGCTGATACACCAGTAGCTACGCCGACAACCACACCGCCACCAAAAAGTCCTATTCATGATCCGGCAATTGACGAAATAACTGGAGTTCGGCGTTCTCATCGCATTAAACAGATAACAAAGACACCGAAGGCGCTTGTGGGTCGTGGGTTGGTGCGTGAAAAAGAGCGATTCTCAATTAAAGACGATGTCGAAATGAAATCTCACTACAGTTTGGATGATCATCTGACGGATTTGGCGCATGTGGAGGCGAAGAATGCTAAGTTCCTAAAAGAAATGGAAGAGCGTCTGAGTAACTTCCATGTCATTAAAGAGAATGAGTACAAATGTGAGCGTGTCGTAAGTAGAGAAGCACGCAAAATGTTGTGTGATTGTTTTTTGACAGCCGAGGAGGAAGAGCGTGGTGAATTGGGCTGTGGTGAAGATTGCTTAAATCGTTTATTGATGATCGAGTGTGGACCCGATTGTAATGTGAAAGATCGCTGTACAAATAAACGCTTTCAGAAATTGCTATGTTCACCATGCCGTGTCTTTCGTACGGAAAAGAAGGGCTTCGGTATAATGGCTGACATTGAGATATTGCCTGGTGAATTCATTATGGAATATGTCGGTGAGGTAATCGATGGCGATGAGTTTGAGCAGCGACGTACTGCATATTCGTTGGACAAAAATCGTCACTATTACTTTATGGCATTACGAAGCGATGCCATAATCGATGCCACAATCAAGGGTAACATTTCACGCTTCATTAATCATTCCTGCGATCCGAATGCGGAAACCCAAAAGTGGACTGTAAATGGTGAACTACGAATTGGGTTCTTCAGTCGTAAGTCCATTATGCCAGGTGAAGAAATTACGTTCGACTACCAGTACCAACGTTACGGCAGAGAGGCACAACGTTGTTATTGCGAGTCGGCTAACTGTCGTGGTTGGATAGGTGAAGAACCCAATTCGGATGAGGGTGAACAAATCGATGACGACATTGATGCGGATAACTCGGCAGATGGCAGCGATGATGAGGATAGTGATGATAGCACGGCTGATGGCGATGATTTACATAAAAAATTAGACGCATCCAGCAAATCACTAATTAGCTTAGAGGATGGTAAAATAAAGTTGGATGACAAATCGGATAGCGCGGGTAAGGACAAGAAGAAAAAGGTGGGTGACGATGAGCATAGAGATCCTGAGGCTAAGCTGAAAAAGCTAATAGGCAAATCTGCTGATAAAGCAGCGCGAAAAAAGAAACCCAGTAAAGAAAAGAAAAATAAGAGACTAGGCAAATCTGCTACTGGTGAGCAATCGAAAACGTCACGTTATTTGGAAGATCCGGATATCGAAGACGAAGTTAAATTCCTTAGCCGTGGCGGGCTAAGGAACCAATCGGATACGTTGCGGTTTTCACGTTTGGTCGTACGCGCTAAATTACCGCAAACTCGTCTCAATCTGCTGAAAATTCTGCGCAATGCCGATTTGCCATGTCGCCGACTGTTCTTGGACTATCATGGACTGCGTTTGTTGCATGGCTGGATGAGCGAAGACGGTGGTGATATGGCGATTCGCTTGTCACTCCTAGAGGCGCTTGAGAGTTTGCCGATAGCAAACAAGACTGTACTCACTGACAGTAAAGTCTATCAGAGTGTACGTAATTGGTGTGGCAATGCGTTGTCCGCCAGCAGCGTTCCAGCTGGCAATGCATCTTCGCCAAGCGATGAATCGTCGAAGGAAAGCACAAGTAGTAATTCACATACGGAGATAGCTAGTGGTCAGGAGGTACCTTCGGATCTGCAGAAATTAGCTGTGAAATTAACCACGGCATGGAATAGTTTGCCAGAAATTTTCCGCATACCAAAACGTGAACGCATCGAACAAATGAAAGAGCACGAACGGGAGGCTGATCGACAGTTTGCCGAAGCTTCCGTCGACACTAATCGTTCTGTTGTAAGTGATCGTTATCAGCGCGATCGTTTCGGACGCGGCCCTACCACTTCGCGTTATTCCAAACCCAGTTTCAGCAAAGATAATCGTAACAATAATATAACCGTTGTAGGCTCAATGCCCAGCGGCGATCCACGCCGACGTTCGGCGCATGATAGCAACGAAAGTATGAAGCATTTGTCGAAGGAACAGAGACGAGAGTTGTTTGCTGCTAAGGTGAGAAAACCACATAATCTGCTAACCGATATTAATATATACCTATATATATTGTTTTTAACTTTTTAGGTGGCACGCGACGAAGCCGAAAAGCGTTTGGCTGAAGAGCGTAGAGAATTCGAAACGAAATGTCGTTTCTTTGGTTTGGACCCCAAAAAAACACGCACGCAGGATGTTCCTTTCTGCGTAGACCCTTCAACAGGTCAATGGTATTCCATTGCCCGCCAACCTATCCCCACCCCACCATGCTACGCACACGTGCAGGTGCAGCCAAAACCAAAATCCACCGATCCTGAAGATTACAAAATACCTGCAGTTGTTACCAACTTGCCGCGTCAATGGAAATACGCCATTACAAACTTAGGCCAAATATATTACTACCATAAGAAGCAAAAAATATCTCAATGGCACCCGCCAACGCTTGAACAATTGCATGCTGCAGCCGAGGAAGGCGACAGTTCGGACAGCGAGTCCTGTGAGGAAGCTAAATTGGCAAATGAGAGCAGCGAGGATGATGAAGTACTCCTAGGTAGCAATTAAAAAATTGAATTCTAAAAATTTTACTTATAATACATTCCATGATTTTTAAGGAATGGATGAGGCTCAACTCAAGACTTTTATCGATAAGAAGGTAGAAAATCGTAGGCATAAGCGTTATAGTCGTTTGGTGGATGAGCGTCCAATTAGTGTAAGTATATATGAGTATAACTTTGCTAATGATGTCAAATTAATTTATATGCTTATATTTATAGCCACGCAAGGAGGAAGATCGCATCTACAATCAAATAGAGATGCGCAAATACAAAGAGAATAAAGAAAAAATACGCAAACGTAAGGAAGAAATACGACGCAAGCGCGCTGAAGCACTCAAAGCATCTGCTATGGGTGGCGTAAGTGTCAACGTTGGTGCAGACGGCTTAAATAGCGACGCTGCGAAATCCAAAAATGGCGAGGCCGACGATGAACCGGATGGTGCAATACCCATACAAGACTATTTGCTCTCATCCGATGAGGAGGAGATTATGAAGGAGGAATGTAACAACAGCCCACTCTTGGACAAAATCGTGCAAGGCGATAAGATTGTCGACGAATTGGATGCGCTTACAACAAAACGTGCGCTCAAGCGCGCATTACCGCCTCATCGAGAGCCGAGCGCACAGGCAGGCCAGAGTAATAGCAGTAGTAACAGTAGCAGCGGCGGCGGCAGTGAGCATAAGCGACGTAAATCGGAGAAGAAAGAGAAAAGGTTTGTTGTTGTTTATACTTAACGTTAACGACATTAATAACATTTTTGTCATTTTACTTTTTTTTTATTTCATTAGCAAAAAGAGCAAGGACTCGGATTCCAAGTATCGTCGCAATAAGGAAAAGTTCCGTTGTGAAATAGCTGGTATTATTGTGCAACACTTAAAGCCATATCGCAAGGAATCTTGCACGCTCGGTCGTATACAGAGTGATGAAGATTTCAATCATCTCGCGCGAAAGGTTCGTTTGAGATTTTATTTTATAAAAATCAATTTTTTTAACCGTCATTCAATGCATTTGCAGCTCACGCACTTTGTTATGGTTAAGGAGCTGAAATACTGCGAGTCTGTTGGTCAGACTCTAGTTGTCACCGAATCTGTTAAGAATAAATCCCGCGAATTCATTAAAAAGTACATGGCGAAGTATGGCGGCATGTATGTGAAACCCGCCAATGATCCGGAATTTAAGGAGATTCCATTTACTATTTAAACATATTTATAATTCTTCTTTAACTGATGACTATATAATAGGAAAAAAACTGCTGGTAAGCCAATTTCTGAATTCAACAAACAGCGATGGATTTTCGCTGACTTCAGACTTCACTTTTTTTTTGTATTATGAATCATTTTGCGACGTACATTCTGTTTTAACTGCATAGCGTCAGCAATTGAGTCGTTACTATTGTTTAGCTGCAAATTTGATTTTGTCAATATTTGCATTGCATAATCTTTATTTGTATATAAATTGTTGAAAATTAAACGGAACACGACGCTGTTAATCATATTTACCGTTCCATTGGTAGACTTCGAAATATTTAAATAAATTTTTATTATTATTGTAATGCTTAGTATTTTTTTTTTTTTTTTTTTAGTTTTAAACCAATATGTATGTATTCCCTTTTTACAACGTGTGAATTGTGGTGTATTTTTAGAGACACGAATATATTGTTTCTATGCTGTAATTACATTTTACGAGCTAAACTCAACGTATATGCAATTATGTAAAAGTTGCTGCACAAATACGCAAGTGCAACTGTAGATTCAATAAAAGTGAAATAAACAAGATGTGCGTAGTAACTGTTTCTTTTACCACAACGGACCGGCGTGCGTGCGCTCTTACGATTGACTTCTTAATCTAGCCTAACTTTATTCCATAATTTTGGGTTTTGGTCAGCAAGCGACATCACCTTACTCTAATTACTTACCTTATAAGACTAAACGTATTCGCAAAATAAGATACAATTATAATAGCAAATAAATAATTTTATTTTTTTTTTTTTTGAGAATTATATTTGCAAATCCGTTATACACTTTATCAAACAACATTTCCAATAATAAAAAAAATAGGTTCAAATTCCGAGGGCGTCTAATTTTTCACATTATTCTGCTCAACGATTTGATCGCCTTCACTGGCTGCTGGTTGTGTTCGATTAGCTTCCTCTGGTTTCATAGCGGGGAAGAAGAGCACCTCCTAAAAACACAAATAAATATTTTTTATTAGATATTTACAATAAAAATATATTCACCTTAATGTTATTGGTGTCAGTGAGGAACATGGTTAGACGATCGATGCCCAGACCCCAGCCACCCGTTGGTGGTAAGCCATATTCTAATGCTGTACAGAAGTTTTCATCAATCAGTTGCGCCTCATCATCACCAGCCGCTTTATCGTTGGCCTGTTGCGCAAATCGTTCACGTTGCACCATCGGATCATTCAACTCTGTGTAGGCATTACACACTTCCTTCTTCATGACGAACAATTCGAAACGTTCTGTTAAACCCGGTTCACTGCGATGATATTTGGCCAGTGGTGACATTATTTGCGGATGCTCACAGATGAATGTTGGATTTATACAAGTTTCTTCAATGAAATCACCAACTAATTTATCCAGCAGACGCGCCGTTGTACGCGGTGGCGGACATTCGATTTGATGTTTGGCGCAAAGTTGTGAAAGGAATTCCGTTGTCTCTTTGCTATTAAATGTTGTAGCTGGTGGAAATTTGACGTTTAACTTTTCTTCTAGAGTTTTTATCATCGAAACCCTTCTAAATGGTGGCGTAAAATCAATTTCCTCCTCAGGACCTTCAGATCCTTCAGGATGATATTTAATTTTATAAGTACCATGGATGGCTTTCACCATTTCTGAGATCATTATCTCAGTTATTTCGATAAGATCGTTAAAATCAGCATATGCCATATAGAATTCGCAAGTGGTAAATTCTGGATTATGCGTTAAATCGATACCTTCATTTCTGAATTGACGCCCAATTTCATACACTCGATCTAAGCCACCAACAACGAGCATTTTATGGTACAATTCTGGTGCGACACGCATATACAAATCCATATTTAAGTCATTGTGATGTGTTATAAAGGGTTTTGCAGTTGCACCGCCCGCAATCATGTTCATCATGGGTGTTTCTACTTCCAAGAAACCCATGCGATCGAGAAATTGGCGAACAAATGAGACAATCTGCAGAATAAAAAAATAATTATAATTAAAACGAATTATTTGCAATTCAAAATGAACTTACATTTGCACGAATTTGAAAGGTTTCTCGCACTTTGGGATTCAAGATCAAATCCAAATACCTTTGTCGGTAACGTGTTTCCTTATCCTTGAGACCGTAATGCAAATGAGGCAGCATATGCAAGCATGGTGATAACAGCTTTATCTGTTTCGGAAAAAATAAAATACTGTTAATAGGAAAGAGGCAGTACAGTTATATAGATTTTTTTATACCTCCTTTGGCACCACTGAGAGTTCACCCTTCTTTGTTTTACCGGGATAACCGCTGATACCTATAATGTCACCACGTCGTATTTTTGCAGTATCAGGCTCAAAGGCATTTTCGTTATGATACAACTTAGCATTAGCCATCACCTGCACTTTGACACCCTCACCGCGCAAATCGTAAAATATTAATTTCACTCCAGATTCCCGTATTGCATGCACGCGACCAGCAACGCTGTGTAGAAAAAAAAGATTATTAATTATTTTATGACATTGTTATTAGAAAAATATTACTCACCTCAGAGCGACGTCTTCAAGCATTTCACCCTCTTTAAGATTCTCATATTTTTTAATGAAATTTTCCAAAGAAATACTAACGTTAAATTTGTGAGGATAAGGATGTGTATCTGATGATTTTTTTAAATCAACAATAGCAGCTGAACGCAGTTTAAAATATTCATTTGGTGAAATTTCCTCTTCTGACGCCGCCGCCGACTTCTTTTTTGTAGCATTGCTGTCAGCATTAGCACTTGCTGCTGCAGCTTTTTGCGCCTCCTTCTCTGCCTTTTCCTTGGCTTTTTGTTCAGCTTTTAGACGCCTTTTTAGCTCACTAAAAAAAAATAATTTCATTGAATCGATTAAAATGTAATGGTAGCTGCAAGAAAATGTTTAAGAAAAATAATATTTTATCTCGAAAAATGTGTACCGCACTATATATGTTTCACGTTGATATAAAATCGAGTAGTTAAATAAAAGATATACATACGTATAATCAAATGCTTATAAATATGTATTAATAATAAGTAAGGACTATTCCCTTACAGTTTTGTACGCTTGCTTGGTATTTCTAGGCATATTGTGGAATGAAGATGTCGCGTTGTTGCATTCTGGCACCAAATCTTTACATGTTTCTGATGGCACTTCACCTCAACCTGTCGAAATACAGCATGAAACTGACGCAATTTTAGAAAACTATTTGGTGTCGCATACGGCCTTAGAAATTTATACATATTCTTTCCTCTGTTATCACTTTATTTTCCGAAACACATTAATCTAGTTCAACACTGATAATTATTTGAAAATATACACTTGGTAAGATTTTTTAGCATTCACACATGAAATTGCTGGAATTCTGCATGTGTTTCAACATAACCACACATTCGGTGATCAAATTTGATGACATCGATTCAGCGATTGCATTAATCCTTTTAGCAATTATATCCAGATTCACTTACTTTTTTGATAGCTCACCAGTTGCCTCAGACATTTTACCTAAAGATTAGGATAACTTCGTTAGTAAAACCCGTACAAAAAAAAGAAAACCTTTATTGGAAATATACAAATCGGCGTGAGCCAACAAATGTCAATAATCGTGGCGAAACAATGTTGTTTCTTTACTGATACTCAGCAATGGGAAAAAGCGGCCGTATTTCTGTATGAGTTTGTTAATTTTTGTACAAAAATCCTTTTTTTTCAATTATGTTTGTAATTTGATTAGCTAAAAAGGTTCATGAAGAATCGTTGCTTTCTAAAAATTTAATACAGCATAAAATATCTGAAACTTATGAGGATTTTCAATGATAGTTTTGAAGTTACTAATATACTTTTCAAAAGCCAATAATATGGTTCATGCTGTGTTTTAGTTTATGCTTAAATGATGTTGGGCAACAACCTTACTATTTTTATGTTATTAAAGAAAGTTTCGGCAACGCTTCAGTGAAAAATCAAAAATATTACGTGAAAAAGTGTGATTTTTTCAAAAATTTATTATATAACTATTAATAAACATTCCATGCAAGTGCTGAGGCTTAATTATTTGTAAAATAATGCCGTATAATAAGGAAATGAAGAAAATCTATTGCAAATGGTTGAGAAAATTTTTATGCGGAAGTAGTTGTAGAAAGTTTGACATAAAAAGTGAAAACTGCTGCACTCACTAAAGAAACATATGATTAGGACTACCTATATAATAAATAACATATTGGAAGAAAATAAATATGACTTTTATAATTAGACATGGAAGTTTAATTAAATTAGTCCAACTAGAAAAATCTATAAATTTACATTCTGGCCTGTGATCGATGGATACAAAGAAGTGAAGAGGATAGCGGGTGAATATGTGCGGAACAGAACGAGTTTTAAGAGAACAAATAAACATATGTGAGAATTGTGAGAAGAATAACGCGAGCAAAACAAATGGCTAAAAAACGTGCCTTTGGAGCGTGCAGAGCCGATATTCACGAGCTACATACTTGTAGTTGAATGCAATACCGGCGTCATAGGCAAATAATAAAATAGCAACTATTGAAGAATTGTGCATGTTAGCTGTAGATATGGGTTACAAAGCGAACGGGGAGGGTGGTAATAGCGGTAAAGGTCGTACTAACGGTCGTGGGATGGGAGATGACGACGATGGGGGCGATGAAGAAGAGAGTAACACGTTTTATGAGGCAGTCAGTGAACCGGATCTTTGCTTAGACACTCTTAAAATAACGAATGACGTCACATCTGTAAACAAAACAATGCAAAGTGTCTGCGATATTGAGGAAGATGCCGAAGAGATCGAGGGTGCACATTGTTTACCGCAGGCGACAGATGTTATTGACATTGATTCCGTTGCGCTGTCGGGAGCTCATGCAACGAATGTGATTCACGATGATGTTCTCGTTGACACCAAGTGCAGTTTGCGGGGAGATCAGCAGAGGCAAAACATGAAAGACAAAGATCACACTTTTATTGATGAAAATACAGCATTACGTCCGCCACGGACTAAAAGTAGGTTTCATTATATAATAAAAATATCAAATTAAAGTTAAATATATATTTTGTATACGATTTCAGATCTCAAAGACTTCAACAAAATAAATCATACAATTATGCCTGATGATCAACAACAGAAACAACGTCAGCAGACTTTGCTCACAACCAAATCGTGTGAAACTCCGGCGACTGCTACGCTTTCGCCAACAAACTCACACAGCGATAGTGGTAGTGTTGGTGGTGGTGCTAGGCGTAAGTCATGGACTCTTTCACCACAAAGTAATGATTCTACACCACAAAGTGGAGCCAAGAAGAAAATAAAATCCACATGCCAAAAATCACCAACGGCACCGTTGTCAGCAGGAGTAGTTGGTACAGAAAATCTCAATTTATGGGTTGCCCGTGAATGTTACGAAACGGTACCGGCCGAGACGGTTTATGAAGTAGAAGATGACATCCTTGTTGTGGATGATGAAGAGGCAGCCGTCGAAAGTTTGCTTGGTGCTGCCGCTGCTTTTCAGCCGAACTCCATTAATAAAACAGTGCAACGCAGACAAAAACATCTACGTCAGCCACAACATAGACCATTGGAGCGTTCGTGGCCACCGAGAGCTGTGGGCAAAGATTTAAATATGCAATGCGATGTTTTCAAATTTGACATTCTCGATATCGATGAGAAGATGGATAGCTTAGGTGCTATTGGGTGTAGCTCGGCTGAAGGCTATAGTAGCGCTACAAGTAGTACAAATAATTCACCTTTATTACTCCTCAACAATGGCCCGCCTACATCCACCAGCCCGCAATATGATTTGCCCTCAGGCACAATCAATCAAACTCCCGTGAAATTCAAGCCATTAATTAAGAAAAAGATTGGTCCAGATAGTTATATAAATACAATTACAACAAAAAAGGTGCCTGCTTCGGAAACTTATGAATTTCCAACATTTCCTGTAAAAGATAACTCAAACGCGAACGTAACTAACGCAACGACTGCCAACCAATTTCCACATATACGTCAGCATAGGCCACTAACTCGCGTCTTGTCGAATGGGAAGGGTCCTGTACCTTGTAATGCACTTAATTACGATGATTTGGCAGTTGGTGGCACACATTCGCCACGCCTATTGCTCTCCCCAAAACGTCAACGTAGTCCACCTTCGGGTTGTTCCTCAAGGAGTGCCTCGCCATTAGATTTGAATTTAAGTCCTGAAACCAGTTCTCCACCAACTCCTCAAACTCAATTTAAATTCAGTTCCAGTTTGGGAAGTGGACCATCATCGCCTGCTATTCATATACGCCCACAACAAAGGTTATTAAAACGAGTTGGCGGTGGTGTCGGTAAGTTTCTTTGACTTTTAATTAAGTTGCTGTGTGGTGGGTTTAATTTTTAACATAATAGGCGCAAACCTCGTGTGTCCGCCGACTCCCACACATCATGCTCGTCGCCATCAACGTCTACAATCCAACACATCTGCATTGGCGGCATCAGTGGACAATTCGCTAAACGGTACAATAGGAAATCAAATGGATTACAACTTGGCAATGCCAAAGTCTCCACCGATTGCAATTGGTGCTGGAGTTGGTGGTATCACAGAACACCATGCCATTGACGGTAGCATAGCAGAAGATGTCGATACAAATGGTGCCGCAAATGAAGCATGCAGCACACGTCTACCATCGATTCCGGAGCGTGGAACTGCTGCTGGTTTTCTTCGTGGTACTGCGGTTTTCGGTGAAGGTGAGTCTGCCACCGAACCATTACCACCCGCTTGGGAAGCGCGTATGGATAGCCATGGACGCATTTTCTACATTGATCATACGACGCGTACAACCTCGTGGCAGCGGCCTGGTACGAATGGAGGCGCAACTCTAAATGGTGCCGGTAAGACTAATTTGTAGACAATTAATTTGGTTTTTATTATTCAATTACACTTGCATATTCTATTTACAGGACGTGAGCACCATCATCGACAACAATTGGACAGACGCTATCAGTCCATACGACGCACAATTACTAGCGATAATCGTCTCTCGAATGCCTCCGCTTACAGTGTGAACGAAAATTCTGCATGTAATAACACTGCCAATCAATTTCCAAATTTCATGCATAGTAGTCCAAACGCGGGAAATAGCAATAACTTAGGTAATCTACAAAATCTCAGTCTTTCTGTGCATCCAGCTGTTGTGATGCTTTGTCGTCCCGACTTTTATTCCATGTTGCACACAAATGAGGATGCATTATCGATATATAATCGCAATCCTGCACTAAAACACATGATTATACGTATACGTCGCGATCCGCAATGCTTTCAACGTTATCAATATAATAAGGATTTGGTAGCGCTGGTAAATACATTTGCACAGCTTAATCGAGACTTGCCTTCCTGCTGGGAGACCAAACTTGATCAATCGGGTAAACAATTTTTCATCGATCACAATAATCGTAAAACCTCGTTCATGGATCCACGTTTGCCCGTTGAAAGCGCACGTGTCGTACGTCAAAGGCATCAGTTGCTTTCGCATCAATCGCCACAACTCTCCGCACATTTTCCACACGCACATCATCCACACCAGCAGCCACAGCATCACCACAATTTCCAATACGATGCGCTCGACGGAAATTGTATTTCTGTGTCGGGAGTACCGCCACTGCCACCACCTAGGCCGCCAAGCACTGTACGCACCGGCCCGAACGGCGCTTTGCGTGGCGCCACTGGTGGCGCTAGCAATTATGAGCAATACAACGAGGTGCCTGTAGCTTACAATGAAAAGGTAGATTTCTAGAAAATAGCGGAAAAGAGTTGCGAAATTTTTGACATTTCATTTGATGTGTTTAATGTTTTTTAGGTGATCGCGTTTTTGCGCCAACCGAATATTTTGGAAATCTTACGTGAACGACATGGTCAGAATACAGTTTCACGTTCCTTGCGTGAGAAAATTAATATTTTACGTGTAGAAGGTGTACCGGCTTTGGAGAGGTTAGCTCATGATTTGCAGCTGACTATTTTATTAAGGTGAGTTAATTGTAAACTTTTTGTATTTTAAACTAAAGTGAATTTTTTTTGGTTAGCTTTAAAAATTTTTTTTATTAAATTGTTGTAAAACATAACAAAAGAAATGTCCTTTGTAAAATAGCGCATACTAAGGAGAACTAATATGAAATCTTGAATACGACTTGATGCCACTATCTTTAGATAAAAATATACAAAACTACCTAAGAAGATATTGCAGGTTATATTATAAAGGACTATTTATCTCTTTTACGCGTAAAACAACGTCAATATTTTTGAGGTTAATTCAAGCTATTCCACACCATTTTAATAATTTCCAGCAAAAAACAAAAAAAAAAAAATAAAGTGTGGAGTTACAGTTTTATACATATCCCAATTTAAGTCTCCACTCGTAAAACGAAAATACAAATATTTGTAGATAATTCATAACATAACTATAAAAAACTCTCTCTAACAAACGATGAGTTGGGAAAAATTGGGCCAAGATCTGAGTGACCCCTTGATGCTAATACTCAATGAGAGAGCCAGGGGGCACCCTTGTCCCGCTCACAACGGAATATGATCGAGTTGGATCTCCATTGACGTCTGGCGTTCTAGCTCTGGACCCATGGACCTCGCGTGCACTCAGCAGACGCTGGTCGACGACCAACGCCTGTGCGACTGCGATATCCTTATGGCCAAGAGTGGAGCGCAGGAGGTCTGGGGAACTTTTCGCCTTGAACAAAGTTCATCTCGCCGCTATTGTATGAGTTCTCACTGCACACTGTCCAATTGGTACTCAAGCGGTACGGCTTAAAATCCTACCGGATGCTAGTTGTCAGGAGGGTGAGGAGGAAACATCTAGGCACTTTCTCCACCACTTTCCGTCTTTTGCAAGGCTGAGACTGAAACATCTCGGTAATCATATATTAGGCGGACCAGAAGACTTAGCCGAAACGGATATTAGCCGTCACAACAGATTTCTTATAGGCTCAAAGTGCTTTGTCGTCATGTAAGGGTCTTTTTATCTAGCTTTTTAGAAGTTTTTAGGTACCGCAACGGACCGACGTTCTAAGCCGTCCAAGTGAGATCCTTCTTAAGATCGACAACCTAACGTAACCTAACCTAAGGGCGCCTGAAAACTGTTCATTGCTTCTTCAAATATTACAGTATTGTTATTCTACGTCTCACTTAAGTAAATATGTACCTCATCGCAAATTTGCCGCACGGAACACGAGTTTTTTTGTATTTAAATAAAACGTTCTTATACTTTGCGTAGTAATTTATCAAAGTCTACTGGTCATAAACGTCAAACACATGTGTTACGTTTGACAGCTAGCCCCCTAGGAAATTCTATAACTCTAAACAGTTACCCTATAAATATTTTAATACATATGAAGTTGAATTTAATTTAATAGCTTTGAAATCTATCGCTTTCCACCCCTATTACTCTATAAGAAGGTCGTCTGATGCTACTTCCCATTTGCATATTTTATGGGACTCACTTAATAACCAATCTAAATTTATTGTTTCCCATGCTTTGTATTTGAAATGTCACCGCAATAGTTTTATCTAAATCAATTACAAGATGCTGTCAGCTTTTTACTCGAATGCCCCCAAGTACAAGCATTTCATTTTTCGCGCTCAATTAATTTGTTTAACTGCTTTAATAGAACAACAAATTCTTACCACAAAACAAGGCTACAAGCTTTAACTGCTTGAACTTCCTGTTCGTCATAATTAACATAGCTTTCCGATTTTTGCAAACGTTCAAGATCAAAGCGCGCTTGTACTCATGCCGTGCGTACTATTCTGCAGCGCAGCTTTGGCGCGACGTGGACGTGAGTGCAACACAAAGAGCCGCCATTAATTAAGTATTGTTCCTGCATGAATGATTTCGCTTTAAGTGTGTTATGGCTAAACTTAAGTGGCAAGGTTGTCTCTTCGCCTAACAAGGTTGAGTAAAAATTTCCACTAAATGCCAAATATTGTTAGTCATTGCAACTAATATTTGCAATTGCAATACTTTCGATTATTATTGCACTCATTAGCCAATTACACATATACATTTGCAAATTTGTATATGTACTTATGTTTATAAGAGCTGCAATATAAATTGTTCTCAGCTAGGTCAATGCACTTTCAATAATAGCTTTATTTTAAGGCGCAAAAAGTATGTAACTCTGTATTACATTTTTATAACGCATTTTATTGATCAATTAGGCATGCAACAGCGGTAATGAATGCAACAGCGGCGAGATTTAGTTACTACGGTGATGGGAAAATTTTGCAAATATCATCAGCGTTCCGTTGTTGTTATTGTTTCACTGGATCCGGGTGTTTTCCGTTTGAGGAAACCTCACTGTCAGGGGCCCGTCGATTCTACCGTTAAAGCACAACAATTTGGCTGATTCCTTGTTGAGACCAATAAAGTCTTATCAAATAAAATCCTAAACTGAAATTATTCGGCTTTTTAAATTGTTAATAAACGCTGTTGATTTAAAAAGTACTCACTCGTCAATATCCGATTTTCAAAAGGATCGATTCACAGCGCTACAGAATACTGCCACGTGGTATCTATATAAGTCAAGACAATATATGATAAATATTCAAAACTTGAAAGTACCTAAGAGTACCACTATTGTACTCAAAAGCACTCTTTACTAATTGTCAGTTTGTTAACGGTCTTGTACTCAGACTATTTACCACATAAGATTTGGAAATGTGTAGAGTATAACTGATACAGTGTGGTATTTTAATAAACAAATTTTAATATAAAATCAATATTTGGTATATTATCGGTTTATCAATGCGTCCCTGCTGGCTTCCTAGTCCGATTCAGTAATTTTTGAAGAACTCACCGATCTGGATATTTACTTTAAATGTATTGTTTTCTCTATTTAACATCAAAGCAATGACGTTGTCAAATAGCGCCTTGAGTTTGTTATATAAAATATAAATTACGATATGACAAACCATACGCTTATAACTAAAGATCGTTCAAATCCATATCATATTTCCATCGAGTCTCCGTAGCACGTGACATTGTGCGCGTTTTAAGCAGCAATTTCAAAGAAAAATCTATGCAGATTTTCAATCTTTCTTCATGTTAGTTGTACACTCAAATATATACAAAATATTCATTTAGTGACGAAGAGCAAGTAGAAAAATTGTTTCGTATTTAATGTAAGCTTATATCAAATTAAAGGCTTCGTTTGGTAGGATGTCGACAGTGTGTGTATCAACAGCTCTATTTAGAAGAAGGTTATGTTATTTATTATGTATGTAAGTCATCTTAACACAGGCCCAAGAAATATAGGTTGGTTGAAAAGTTGGTTGGTCTCACCAAGAAATAGCATTATTAGCTCAAAATTTGTTTTTCTCAAGTTGGTAAATCTGTCATGAGAACACATTTAAAGTTACAAGTCATTCTGTCAATTAATTCTTTGTTTACAAGCCACTTGAAGTTGACGTGTCAGAGTATTTTTTTTATATGGAAAAAATTTAATATCGCGCAGTGATTCGATTCTTTGTTTTGAATGGTTTAAAAGCACAGGAAATTTATTAAAAAAATTAGAAGTGTATAAGGAGCCTTCACCTTCAAAATGCACCGTTGAATTTTGGGCTGGTGAATTTAAACGTGGTACGACTGCGAAGGGCTTAAAGACGATCCACGCGTAGGACGACCAAAAACCTCAACCACACCAAAAATCATTGAGCAATTTCATAATCTTGTTAGTGAAGATCCAAGTTTGACTAAGCGTGAAATTGCTAATGCCATAGGCATCTCAGACGAACGAGTACCTCATATTTTACATGGAGAATTACATATGAAAAAAGCTGTTTGGAAAGTTAGTGCCGCACGCGTTAACAATTCAACAAAAACTGGATCGAAAACAAATTTCTCAGCATAATTTTGAGCGTTTTAAGTAGAATAAAACCGATTTCTTGCGTCGTTTTTTAACTATGGATCTAGCAACACGATCCAAAATTGAAAAAATAATGTTTACAGTGGACTGAAGCTGGTTGCTCAGCTCCAAAGCAGGTGAAGTCACAACGATCAGCAAAGAAGGTTATGACATCAGTTTTTTGGGATACAAAAGGAATTTTGTTCATTGATTATCTGCAGAAAGGCTCTGAAATCAGCACTGAATATTATTGCAGCCTTTTAAATCAGTTGGATAAAAAAATTCGTGAGAAAATACCTGGTTTGCAGCACAAAAAATCAATTTTCATCAAAACAATGCACCTGCTCACAAAGGTGTTTTAAAACTAACAAAATTCAAGGAATTAAAGTACGAACTACTTGAGCATGCATCGTATTCACCAGATTTGGCTCCCAACGACTACCACCTCTTCAGAAACCTGAAAAAATTCCGTTTGTGGAAAGCGTTTTTCGTCGAATGAATGAGCTATTAAAGCTGTAGGCGGATATTTTGCAGCACTGCCGGAATGTCATTATAGGGATGGCATAAAATTATTGGACTATCATTGGAATGAGTGTATTGAAGCTAAGGGAGATTCTCTTGACTAAAAAAATATATTTCGTATCAAAAACTGTATTTTTTCCTTTCAAGTGCCGAAACTTTTCAACCAACGTGTAATTTTGGGAATATAGAGAATGCGCTGGATGACTCTGACTCAGTTTGAATTAGTATATTGTATGTAAGTTAAGTAAGTTTATCTGATCTATCCTCTTCAACTAACCCCTGAAAAGAGGGTATTTTTATACCTCTGGCAACTTGCAAACACTTAATCAGCGAACATGCTAAAAATATAGCAGAGTCTCGGTGCATACAATCAATAACCTGCTTAACCAGCAGACTAACGTGGCAAGAATGGAGCGTGAGTCGCACAAACCGACTACTAAAATTTAAAAGGAATGATATAAGAACTCTGATAGGAGTACCAACAGGTCACTGTCTAATTGGTAGACATGCCAGTAGGCTGGGTGTACCATACAACGACTATTGTGGAAGCTGTCAAGAAGTAGAAGAAGAGGTGACTGTAAAGCATCTTCTATG